CATAAGAATATCCACCTTGTGGGAGGCAAGCAAAGCTGTCATGCGCGGCTTCTTTATACAACAAAAAGCAAGAAAAAAGAAGGAAAAATTACAAAAACACAAGGAAATAATGGATAAAATAGAGATGGAGGAAAAAAAGCTGAAGAAGAATCCAAAAAATAAGAAAGTACTAGAAAACATTATAAAATGGAAGAAAGAGAAAGAATATTTAGAGCTAGAGGAGAAAGCTAAAAATTTGAGATATATAAAGGCTGACTACTTTCAAAACGCCAACAAGCCGGGGATCTGGCTTGCAAGAAGATTGAGAAAGAAGAGAGAATCGAGAATTATAACAAGGTTAAGGACAAAAGAAAAGACAATAATTGAAGAGGGTGAGATAAGAAAGCACTTTGAAGACTATTATAGGATGTTATACCAAGATGAACAAATAAAAAATGAAAAGATCATGAACTATTTAGCTAAGAGAAAAATCCAAAAGATTTCAGAAAAAGAAAGAGAGGCGTTAAATAGAGAGATATCTGAGGTGGAAATACAAATAGCTATAAGAAATTTAAGAATAAATAAAGCACCTGGACCAGATGGGTTCTCAGCAATATATTATAAGAAAATGCAGAAAGAAATAACACCATTTCTAAAAAAAGTAATGAACGAAATAAGAGAAAGTAAAGAAATACCACCCACCTGGAAACAAGCCAATATTTGTGTGATACCGAAAGAAAATAAAGATCCCGAGAAAATAGAAAATTATAGACCAATCTCACTGTTAAATTTAGATTATAAATTGTTCAGTTATATATTAGCAAACAGATTTTAAAAAATTTTGGTAAATTGGATTAAAGAAGAGCAGACGGGTTTTCTACCGGGCAGAAATCAAAGCGAAAATGTGAGAACTATATTAGATCTTATTGAATATTATGAGAAAAACATACAAAAAGAAGTGATGTTCCTCGCAATTGACGCAGAAAAGGCGTTTGATAGAATAAATTGGAACTTTTTCAAATTACTATTTAAGGAAATGGATTTGGGTTTTTATGTAACAAATTCAATTGAGGGAATATACAAAACACAATTCGCAAAAATAATAGTAAATGGTCAAGAAAGTAAGGAAATTGAAATAAGAAGGGGAACGAGACAAGGATGCCCGCTCTCGCCTTTGTTATTTATATTAACTCTAGAAGTATTGCTAAATAGTATAAGAGAGAATGCAGAGCTAAAGGGGGCAAGGATAAATGGATACTCATATAAATGTAGGGCATTCGCTGATGACCTAATCTGTATCATTGAAGAACCAAATAAAGATTTAAACAAATGGCTGGAAACAATTGAAGAATTTGGAAATGTTGCGGGTTTTAAATTAAACATAGAAAAAACAGAAGCAATAACAAAAAATATCCCGAAGAATAAATTAGAAAAATTGAAGGAACACAATAAGATAAAAATTGTTCAAAAACTTAAATATTTAGGAATTATAATAACAGCAAAAAATTCACAACTCCTACAAAACAACTATATAAGACTTTGGAAGGAGATAAAAAAAGATCTGGAAAAATGGAAGTATCTGAAGATTTCGCTATTGGGGAGAATTTCCTGTATAAAAATGAACGTACTCCCAAGGATGTTATTCCTGTTCCAAAATTTACCTATTATCAGAAATCAAAGAAACATAAAAGAATGGAATAAAGACATCAGGAAATTCATCTGGTTGGGTAAAAAACCAAGGATAAATTATAAGAATCTAACGGATGATAGAGAACGGGGAGGATTGGCATTACCCGACCTGGGGTTGTACGCAGAAGCTTGCGCTTCAGCCTGGGCAGCAGATTGGATTAGATTAAAGAAAGAAAAAAAATTTAAATTTGGAAAGCTTTGATCTGCGTAGGGGGTGGCATGCTTATTTGGGATATGAGAAAGTTAAAATAGAGAAAAATTTCGGAAACCATTTTATAAGAGCGGCAATCATGAGAACCTGGAATAAATACAAAAACCGGATGTACAGTAAAACACCGATATGGCTTTCCCCCCTGGAATCATGCCAAAGAAAAGAACTAGGCTGGATTAAATGGCCCTGTTACAAAGAACTAATAAGAGAAGAAAAAAAGGAAACAATCCTAAAACCAATTTCAGAAATAAAAATAGCCTACCCAAATTTGACTTGGTTTCAATATAGACAAATACAAGAATTCTTTGGAAAAGACAAGAAAATCGGATTTGAAAAAAAAGGGAACAAATGGGATAGAATCTGGGAATCAGATAAGAAAAAAGTAGCCAAAATATATAAAGGTCTACTCCAGTGGAGCACTGAAGAGGAAGAAGTTAAGGATTGTATGGTGAAGTGGGCGAGAAATATAGGAAGAACAATTGGAATAGAAGAATGGGAGACGATCTGGAAGAAAAAGTTAAAGTACTTAAAAGCATACGACATGAGAGAAAACTGGTTTAAAATCTACTTCAGATGGTATATGACACCCGCCAAAATAAATAAATACTACAAAAAGCGAATTCAAATTGTTGGAAATGTGAAGCAGTAGAGGGAACGATGTTCCACATGTGGTGGCAATGTAAGAGAACGAGAAGATATTGGCTGGAACTTCAAAAAATACTGCAAAAATTACTGAAAATTAAAATCCCCCTAAAAGCAGAAATATTTCTATTAGGCATTACAACAAATTTAGAAATAGACAAAAATGAAGAGAAATTACTTTTTTTAGCAACAACAGCAGCCAGAATGTGTTTTGCTAAATTATGGAGAAAAAAAGAAATTCCCAGCCTAGAAGAGTGGAAAAGAAAAATGTTGGAAATAAGAAATATGGATAGACTGAGCTTTATTATGCAAAGAAACAAAGGAATAATGGAAACTGAAACAGACTGGACAAAATTTAAAGAATACCTAAATTTATATAATTAAATCAAAGAGCAAAGAAAAGATAAAGATGAACAAGGAGAAAGACAGAAATTATCATACCAGTCGACTAAGGAGGTGAAAAAAAAAGTAGAAAGACGAAGGAAGAGGAAAGGAAAGAAAAGGATAAGACCTTCCTGAAGACGAATCCTGGAAGTCAAGTGATTGAAGAATGAAATACCTTGTAGCTTTTCTTTTAACTGTCACTTTCATTGCACCCTTACATCTTTTCCCTACCTCTTCATTCTTTTTCTACTCTACCCTTACACACGGCCCCAAACCCCTCCCTCACCCCTTCTTTCCTCTTTCTCGTCTTCTTTCTTTCCCTTTCTATACCTCGGGATTTTCTTATTCCAATATTTCAACTGTTTGTATATATAGGAAAATTGCAATAAAAATTATTAAAAAAAAGAAAAAGAAAGTGAGTTTAGGTACTGCAAGTCCCATCATCCATAGTCTGTTCTCCTCCAAACCTCACCAGAATGTTGAGTTGGCCAAGGGGGCTCTCTGTGCCAAGTTTGGTCTTTCTTGGTATTTGGATAAGTGTTGCTGTGGTTTCAGGAAGTGAGTGAAGGTACTGGAAGTCCCATCATCCATCGTCCGTCCTCCTCCAAACAGCATCGGGATGTAGAGTGGGTCATGGGGGCTCTGTGTGCCAAGTTTGGTCTTGATGAGACATTAGATGAGGGTTGCAGCCATCTTGGGAAGGGAGTGGAGGTACCCATCATCCATGGTCTGTCCTCCTCAAAAGTGCACCAGGATGCAGATTGGGTCATGGGGACTCTGTGTGCCAAGTTTGGTCTTGATCAGTCATTGGCGAGGGTCTCAGTTGTCTCAGGAAGTGAGTGAAGTGACTGCAAGTCCCATCATCCATTGTCAAATTCTTCCAAACTACACCAGAATGTAGAGTGGGTCATGAGGGCTCTCTATGTGAATGGTAGTCCTGATCCATCATTGTTGGCGGTTGTAATGGTCTTAGGAAGGGAGTGCAGGTATTGCAAGTCCCATCGTCCATGGTGCATCCTCCTACAAATCGCACCAGGACGTAGAGTGCATCATGGAGACTCAGTGTGCCAAGTTTGGTCTTTATCGGTAATTGGATGAGGGTTGCAGCGGTCTCAAGAATTGAGCAAAGGTACTACAAGTCCCATAATCCATGGTTCATCCTCCTCCAAACTGCAGTAGGATGTCAAGTGGGTCATGGGGGCTTTGTGTGCCAAGTTTGGTCTGTATTGGTAATTTTCTGACCCAGCCCCTGGCCTTTTCCTTTCCTCTCTTTGTCATCTCAGAATCTTGGAATTGAGGCTGGCCAATCAGAGACCATATGCAAATTTCCTTCTCATGTCCCCGTTTCTGTCATGAACTCTTTTCTCCACCAGGGGCTCCTATTGAAGCTGGCCAATCAGAGACCATATGCAAATAGCACCACAGCGGCAGCCAATCAGAACGCTGGCACATACTCCTCCCGTCGCACCGCCACACTTTTGTCCCCCGCATACAAACTTTCACCTTTATTATATGTATAGATAGATATAGATTCAGGACTATTCTCACTTTGGGACTCAATATTCAAAATCCACATACCTGCGCTCCACAACATATTTTCCCCAGAAGTGTCTGAGCATCTTCCTAGGTCCTCCACTCCTTTTTTATGGTATGCCTCCAGCCCAAGTATAATCTAAATTTAGAATTGACTATTATTTGTAGTTTGAGGAATTCACAGGGGTTCTTGGAGCATATCCCCTGTGGATATGGGGCTGTATATTATAATATTACAATGCAATGTAATAGAATATAACAGAAGGAAATGGGAAGTTGCAAGCCATGGTAAGCACAACACATGGGTTGAGGGACAACTCTAGCATTTTATGACAATTGCTATGTAGGTAAATTATTGTCATTCACTGCAATATAGTCTGTGGAGGAACAAGCAGATATACATGCCCTGTCTGCTTTTCAAAAGATTATAGTTCTAGTTTACTCTAGTAAACACAATTCACTGCACAAACATAAATTAATGAATTAGTGTTCTGTATTCTCTACAAACCCAATTTCTGTTGTCTTGAAGAAACTTATTTTGTGAGGCTAGTATGACTCTTACCTCCTCTCCTTAGACCTCTTCTGGCTGGCTGGCTGTCTTCATTATCACCAAAATCTTCCATGATAAGAAAATTGCAAATATTCAGTTACTTTTGAGTATCAAAATGTATTTAATAATAAATAATTTAAACACAAACATAAAGCTAACTGAAAAAATACATTAAATTGCATCAGTAAAAATAAAACTGTTCCAATTAAAAATTATTTTAGGAATAATCAGCTTAAAAGGGGTTACAGATTTTCAAAACAAATGGCAAATTTGGATAAAAAATAGTTGCCGCCCAATCTCATCATTAGTATGCTGTCCAAAAAGCAAAAAACCTTATGGTCCCGACTGTCTTGGATAAGAGAATGTCAGCCTATAATTACTCCTATTGTTTTTTGGCAAATTTTGTCAACAGAACTGCAGTTCATCAGTGAAGCTTGTTCAACTACTTTTCATCCATTGCAGTTAACAGTTCTGCACAAATGTTTGTTCTATGTTTCATTTGAAGGTCTTACAGTGGGCACCTGACTCCAAAGCTATTGATGTGGCAAATGAAAAGGGACTAAGATGTGGGAACCGTGAGGTTATGGAGCCCAGAGGGTCAGCAGGGTTGGATCTTCACCAAGAAGCCTGCATAACAGCTCTTGAATGTCCCAGACAGTACCCTGCACAGATAACTCATTTATGTGGCTCAAAGACCATGGTAAGGAACAAAGGGTTCATAATAGGAGCCCCCGGTGGTGCAGTGGGTTAAACCCCTGTACCAGCAGGACTGAAGACCAACAGGTCACAGGTTCGAATCCGGGGAGAGCGTGGGTGAGCTCCCCATATCAGCTCGTTCTTCATGCGGGGACATGAGAGAAGCCTCCCACAAGGATGCTAACACATCAAAACTTCTGGGTGTCCCCTGGGCAATGTCCTTGCAGACAGCCAATTTTCTCACACCAGAAGCAACTTGTGGTTTCTCAGGTTGCTCCTGACACGACAAAAATAAATAAATAATAGGAGGTCCCTGCTTATCTGAAGGGCTAGGAGTCAGAACACTGGCAGAAAACAAAACTGGTTGAAAAGTGGAACCCAAGGTTTTTTAACTTGCAAATGCACTTTGACCACTGACAAACAAGGAACTCACAAGGAACTCAAAGGACTTTGTACAGAAACAAAAATAGCCAGAAGTTATCCTGTATCCTCTGAGTATATATTAAGAGTATATGTCCCAGAATATTAATACCTCTACATCATATTTCCTCAAGCAAGACGACTATACAGCTATATATTTGTGTGTCCTACTTGCTATGAACATCATGGTCATAAGCAACAAAATGTACCTCCTACAATTCATACTTTTGTAGATGAGATTTGGAACAGTCTGTTTTAATATAAGACACACAGCTCTGCAAGCAAGTCAAGACATTTCTCTGTCAGGAGGAATTTAGCGAAGTACAAGGGTCACATTGCTGAGGAGGCTGTGGTGGGATTTCACCAGCACAATTCAAAGTGCTGGTGTTAACCTATAAAGCCCTAAACGACTTCGGCCCTGTTTACCTCTCCGAACGTATTCTCCCCTATGAACCATCAAGATTATTAAGATTGTCTGGAGAGGCCCTGCTCTCGGTCCCACCGGCCTCGCAAGCGCGTCTGGTGGGGACGAGGGACAGGGCCTTCTCAGTGGTGGCCCCTCGATTCTGGAACTCTCTCCCACTGGAGATCAGAACCGCCTCTTCTATCCTGACATTCAGGAAACAGGTAAAGATGTGGTTATGGAGACAGGCAGTCGACGAGTGAGATATGGATGGAGGATGATGAACAACGATTTTAGTGTGACGACTGACCATTGTAGTTATTGAATGTAATTGCTGTTTTAATGTTTTACTGTAATATGAATTATGATGTTTTATTGACTGCTCCCTGGATTCGAACCACCAACCTTTCGGTCAGCAAGTTCAGCAGCTTAGCGCTTTAACCTGCTGTGCCACCAGGGGCCCTTGTGGTTGTTAGCTGCTTTGTAAAGTAAATAAAATAAACGATGCTCCAAATTCTTTGCAATTTATCCACAGCACAGGTTGCTAAAATTCCCTGAGAAGATTGTATGGGAAGCTTACCTCTTTCTGAATCAAAACTCTTTCTTTCTTCAAACCTGTTTCCTGGTTTAGATATAGAATGAGTATTAGATGACAAATATTCTACAATTCTGTACATATAGTTTTCAAAATATGTATGAACTTCCTAAATACCACTGAAAAGCATTCAAAATTTATTTTGACTATCCATATCAGAAGTCACTCACTTCAATTAGTCTCATAATAGAACTTAAATGCATTATATTGTATTTCTTGTATTTTAACTGCATTTTAACCTAACACACACAGTGTCATTTAATTGTTTTGTAATAGTATTATTTGCTTGGCTTTATATTAACCAAAGTGTGTGGTTGTTAGTAAAGGTAAAGGTTTCCCCTGACATTAAGTCTACTTGTGTCCAACTCTAGGGGTGGTGCTCATCTCCATTTCTAAGCCAAAGAGCCGGTGTTGTCTGTAGACACCTCCAAAGTCATGTGGCTGACATGACTGCATGGAGTGCCGCTACATTCCCACCAAAGTGTGACCTATTGATCCACTCACGTTTGCATGTTTTCAAACTGCTAGGTTGGCCTAACAGTGGGAGCTCATCCTGCTCCCTGGATTCGAACCACCAACCTTTCTGTCAGCAAGTTCAGCAGCTTAGCGCTTTAACCTGCTGTGCCACCAGGGGCCCTTGAGGTTGTTAGCTGCCTTTTAAAGTAAATAAAATAAACAAACGATGCTCCAAATTCTTTGCAATTTATCCACAGCACAGGTTGCTAAAATTCCCTGAGAAGATTGTATGGGAAGCTTACCTCTTTCTGAATCAAAACTCTTTCTTTCTTCGAACCTGTTTCCTGGTTTAGATATAGAATGAGTATTAGATGACAAATATTCTACAATTCTGTATGTATAGTTTTCAAAATATGTATGAACTTCCGAAATACCACTGAAAAGCATTCAAAATTTATTTTGACTATCCATATCAGTAGTCACTCTCTTCAATTAGTCTCATAGTAGAACTGAAATGCATTTTATTGTATTTCTTGTATTTTAACTGCATTTTAACCTAACACACACAGTGTTATTTAATTGTTTTGTAATAGTAGTATTTGCTTGGCTTTATATTAACCAAAGTGTGTGGTTGTTAGTAAAGGTAAAGGTTTCCCCTGACATTAAGTCTACTTGTGTCCAACTCTAGGGGTGGTGCTCATCTCCAATTCTACGCCAAAGAGCCGGTGTTGTCCATAGACACCTCCAAAGTCATGAGGCTGACATGACTGCATGGAGTGCTGCTACCTTCCAATCAAAGCATTACCTATTGATCCACTCACATTTGCATTTTTTCAAACTGCTAGGTTGGCCTAACAGTGGGAGCTCACCCTGCTCCTGGATTCGAACCACCAACCTTTCGGTCAGCAAGTTCAGTAGCTCAGCGGTTTAACCTGCTGCGCCACCAGGGCCCCTTGTGATTGTTAGCTGCCTTGTAAAGTAAACAAAATAAATAAACAAACGATGCTCAAAATTCTTTGCAATTTATTCACAGCACAGCTTGCTAAAATTCCCTGAGAAGATTGTATGGGAAACTTACCTCTTTCTGAATCAAAACTCTTTCTTTCTTCGAACCTGGTTCCTGGTTTAGATATAGAATGAGTATTAGATGACAAATATTCTACAATTCTGTATGTATAGTTTTCAAAATATGAACTTCCGAAATACCACTGAAAAGCATTCAAAATTTATTTTGACTATCCATATCAGCAGTGTCACTCAGTTCAATTAGTCTCATAATAGAACTTTAATGCATTTTATTGTATTTATTGTATTTTTAACTGCATTTTTAACCTAACACACCCAATGCCATTTAATTGTTTTGTAATGGTAGTATTTGCTTGGCTTTATATTAACCAAAGTGGGTGGTTGTTGGTAAAGGTTTCCCCTGACATTGAGTCTACTTGTATCCAACTCTAGGGGGTGGTGCTCATCTCCATTTCTAAGCCAAAGAACCGGTGTTGTCTGTAGACAACACCAAGGTCATGTAGCTGACATGACTGCATGGAGTGCCGCTATCTTCCCACTAAAGCGGTACCTATTGATCTACTCACATTTGCATATTTTCAAATTGCTAGGTTGGCCTAACAGTGGGAGCTCACCCTGTTCCCTGGATTCGAACCACCAACCTTTCGGTCAGCAAGTTCAGTAGCTCAGCGGTTTAACCTGCTGCGCCACCAGGGCCCTTGTGGTTGTTAGCTGCCTTGTAAAGTAAATAAAATAAACAAACAATGCTCAAAATTATTTGCAATTTATCCACAGCACAGGTTGCTAAAATTCCCTGAGAAGATTGTGTGGGAAGCTTACCTCTTTCTGAATCAAAACTCTGTCTTTCTTCAAACCTGTTTCCTGGTTTAGATATAGAATGAGTATTATATGACAAGTATGCTACAATTTTGTATGTATAGTTTTCAAAATATTTATGAACTTCTTAAATACTACTGAAAAGCATTCAAAATGTATTGACTATCCATATCAGCAGTGTCACTCAGTTCTATTAGTCTCATAATCTGTGTGAAGACATATTCAAAATAGGAGAGAATATACTGTATCTCTATGTCACATGCATATTTTACAAACAAGAAAATATAAAAAATCAGCAACCACTTCTCTACATTAAAATAGGCTTATTTAGCATTACACTGAGTTCTATCACTATGATTTACATTCAGCATGAACACAAAGGGATCTTGCAGCACCTTTCGAGACTCAGAAAAGTAAGTTTTTTAGTCTTAAGTCTACTTCATCAAATGCATGGAGCAAAGAGCTCGGGAATATACATTTATAGTTATGGATGAGCAGGCTGTATCTTTGAAAAGCAATGGAAATGCAACACTTAGCGGGACAGCGATGAGGTGATAAGTTCAGTTTGAACAATGGTCTAAAGCCATGGTGAGTGGATAACCCTATGAACAGTGGATAGAATTGGAAATCAGTGATGTGCTGTATGCCAGGAAATTACTGTCTAGGTTCAACCCACTGTTGATGGACTGGGGTTAGTGGATTATATTCCAATTCTGCTATTTCTCTTTCCACTCTTCCTTATGTGTTTTTGTTCCAGAACTGCTTTTCTGAGGTCTGAGATTAAATGTTTTGGAAGACTGAAATGTTCTGCAAATAGGTTTTTACTTCAGTTCCTAAACCAGTTGATTTCCATTCATCCAAAGGCTTAGATATGAAAGGCAAAGTTGATAGAGGACTATATACATATCAGAGGATAAACATTTTGTGAGTGATGTGATGTGATTAGGACCTATGATGATGCTTCCTGAGTAGATGTAAGGGTAGAAGTGGCATCTGGGTTTCCCTCAATTAGTCTCAAAGGTGCTAAAAATCCCATTGTATACTTATCCATATTAATATATGTCTTTAAATTCAGCATGCACTCTTTTTTATCACACACTACAGAACTGTGGGCTTGTCTGACCAGGCCTACTGCAATCCCAATTCTGCTAGTTGGCTAAATTCATTCAACAGCGAAAACCTGTTATATAATTAGGATAAAATTTCAGAAGTCATAAGTAATCTTGGATTGACATCCCTAATTATAGAATAATAGAATCAAAGAGTTGGAAGAGACGTCATGGGCCATCCAGTCCAACCCCCTGCCAAGAAGCAGGAATATTGCATTCAAATCATCCCTGACAGATCGCCATCCAGCCTCTGTTTAAAAGCTTCCAAAGAAGGAGCCTCCACCAAGTATAACTACCTCTATTTGGAAATATCCTTCCACCTCCAAATCCACCGGTTGGTTTCTCATCTCTGTTTGGTGTTGCATAAACACCTAAGATGTTTTAAGAAAGAAAGAAAGAAAATAGGATCTGTTTGTAGATATAATTTACCTCTGAAGGTCTACGGGGAAAAAAACCTCTACAATTAAGTTAAATAAGCAAAATCGATCCAAGGATATCCTCCTCCACCGCCGGTCAGAATCAACATCATGTTCATCTTTGCTGCTGATGACAAAGGCATAAAACTTCTAACAGACCACATATCAACACAGAACAGTCTTCTAGAATCTAGAATATATGTGGCTAATGATCCAAATATGTATTTCCCTTTTATTACTTTGCAAGTATTGGGCTCAATTTAAAACTTGTATAAAGCACAAACTATCTGAGAATTCTTGGAAAATTTTAAGTCCAAACAAAATTAAAATCACAAACCTCATCCAACTTTCAAACATACATTATTCTTTAGACTACAGTTCAATGTGCCGCATAACATTTTTGTTTACTCAAAAACTGTACTATATTCAAAAGGACTTGAAGATCGTAAAACATCCACTCTATCCTATCCTAAAACTTTTCCAATTAGTGCCTTGGGGTTTCCTTTCTACCACTTTTAGCTGCATACCACAACAGACATGGGCAAACTTTGGCCCTCCAGATGTTTTGGACTTCAACTCACAGAAGCCAGCTTACTGTTGCTAGGAATCATGGGAGCTGGAAGTCCAAAACATCTGGAAGGTCAAAGTTCCATCCCTGCCTGCACAAGGAGCTACCAACAACATAGAGGTAGGTGGAAAATACACAATTCCTAGAAGCATTTCCAAGAGGCAGCACATTTTCCATACATTCAAAGCTAAAATTGTGGGGACTTGTCTATATTGATTTCCTTCCATCATATCCACTCTAGAATAACACAGGAACATGACATACGGCTCCCAGAGCCCTATCAGATCAGACAAAACACTTATTTAGCTCAACATTTTATTTCACAAACCACCTTTACATGCCTGAAGAAAGCTAATGAACAGAATAAAAATAAGTGGCACTGAGTGTGCAGCTACACTGTAAAATTAATGCAGTTTGACACCACTTTAACTGCCATGGACCAATGCTACTAATGAGGTCTAAGAACTCATTTATATACAGTGTTCCCTCACTTATCGTGGGTGTTACGTTCCAGGAAACCCAAAAAGTAGGAGCACTATATATATATATACACAGTATTTACCATCCTATTTACTATACATTGTAATTTTTTATTATTTATAATATTCTCATAGTATTAGAATTAATATTTTTAATATACTTATATACATTTGTCACAAAAATTTAATGTGCAGATTTTATAAATGTGGATTTAATATGATGTGTGGGAATGAATGGAAGGATGCATGGATAGAGCTAATAATTTTGGAGACACCAGTATAATATTAAGGCCTGCAATGACTAACTACGGGCTTGCTGGACTGTAATTAAAAGTTGCTAATAAGAACTGAAAATAATTGGGACAGTGATAACACAAATGTTTACAATGTTAAGAAGGAAGTCAACGTAAGATCAACACCAATCAAGATCAACATCTGGCCAGGAAACTGAGATGGAATCTAAGATTTTGGAATCTTAGATTTTGTGCAGGGAGTCAGGTTCTGCTGTATGGAAAACAGAGATCTGGTCCTTGGCACTGTGCTTAGGGAAAGAAGTTTTGGCATCTCCACGTTTTGAAATTATGGCATATGGAAGTTTTGGAACTATGCATTGGAAGGGTTGCAGGAAAGCAGTGTCTGGCCTAACAGGTGCTTCTCCAAGGAGGGAGAAAAGGATATAATAATATTTGGGTGCATGAGGATGAATGTATGTACATGTGTGTGAATGTTGAGTGAAAATGTAATTCTCCTTTGTTTGTTAGCCATGTAATTGTAAATCCAATGTAGCGGCATAGAATCTGTATGTCTAACTGTTTTTCTGTAATCTGATTTACCCTCTTACACTGGAAATTGTAATAAAACTAACCTATGCTTTAAAATTATTGAAAAGTTATTCATGACACATTTGGTGGTTTTAAAATCAGAAATGCCTTGCCTGACTTACTGGGCAAGGTCCGTTGCGGCAGTGGGCGCCCTCCTGCTGACCAACCCAGCGACAGGCCCCGCCCCTTGATTGACCAGGGCCAGCTTCCCCACCTCACCCCAGCAGCATTTGTAGGGCTGCCCTTGGCTTCCACAGGGCTCCGTGGCCTCCCCAGCGCTTGCAGAGGCCGAGGGAAGCCCTACAAAGGCTACTGGGGCAAGGTGGGGAAGCCGGCCTGGCTTCACCTTGGTAGGGCTGCTCCCAGCCTCTGCAGGGCTCCGTGGCCTCCACAGGCCCTGCGGAGGCCAAGGGCAGCCCTACAAAGGTTACTGGGGCGAGGAAGCCGACTCTGGCCAATCCAGGGGCGGGGCGGGACCTGCTGCTGGTTGGCCAGCCGGCCAAGCGGCGGGAAAGCACCCAACGCCACAACAGCCCTTGCTCAGTAAGTCGGGCAAGGCATTTCCGATTTTAGAACCACAAAATGTATAAAATTAAAAAATATTAACTCTAAACCCTGTGAAACAGTGAGTCCACGGAAAGTGAACCGCGAAACAGCAAGGGAACACTGTACACAACTGAAGCCTCAGGCTTTTTACGTATCATCTTTTAACAAACAGTATCTTCAGAAATCAAATTCCATCCACCCAGGTGGTGGTATTCACTGTGGGACTGGTAGGTTGAATCATCTGGCTAAATCAGATAAAAGTGTTTCAACCAGTAAGGGAACTTCTACCTTGAAACAATCTGATTTTCCTCATTCAAAAGTGCTAATAACTGGCATGTTATTTAGAAAAGGCAATCCTCTTCTTTCACAATAGAAAATGTCTTAGACACAGTGATCATCCATTTTGCTTCATGTAAATTCATTCATTCATCCATTAATAAAGTTAAGATGCAATGATGTTCCTATTATTTTCCTTACATTGAAAGACTCACTTGACCCTTATCATGAAAACATGGTAGCCATGCTTTTCTAAATATAAATGTGCATAAAATTCATTCACACATACCTGGTACCTTTGCATTCTGACTGAAGCTGGATGTTGTTTCATTTACTCTTCCAGATAACCCCCCCTAAAACAATGAAAAAGGACTCACTTAAATTACTATAGGAATGTGAGTTTTAAAAAAATAGTTTCTAGCTACAATGCATTATGGATGTAAACCCGGTGTTATCAATAATTCTATTTCTCTCCCTTTAAAAAGAACTGGTCAAATTAATGATATCATATTGGAATAATTAATCCCTGAAATATCACCCAACTACCACTATCTTTTTTAGAATGGCAGAGGTTAACCACTGAGATGCACTGGAGGATCTAGAGATTCTTTTAAGACTTCTCTCAATTAAGTATATATAACAAACTCTCACTTAACCAGAACTCAAAACAACTTGAACTCTCAAACAACTGGGCAACCCCCTCCCCTGAAGAAATACTTAAAATTAAAACACAATCAATTTTAACAGAAATGTATTTTATGAAGTCTGCCTTTATCTGTTTTAATGACTGTATTTCAATATAAATACAAAGTCAATGCAAGTTTATGATATGGTTTAGTACTGTATTAGTCAGGCATATTTTAATAGTTACCCTCAAGTATCCAAAAACTGCATTTATCCAGCATCTACTAACCTCCATGAGTCTCTGATGGCTACTGAGCATCAGAGTCTACTATGTGCATTTGTCGTATATGTATATAGTGTGTTTTTTTTCCTTTCTTTTCATTTTTGCAGGGACCCAAACCCAAGTGAAAGGGGCAGGGCTAACTGCATTTTAGAATGCCAGAAAAGAGAAGCTCATAATGATACTGGGGGTGCATCCACATTGTAGAATTAATGCAGTTTGACACCACTTTCACTACCATGTCTAAATACTATGGGATCCTGTGAACCTTCTGTGAAGTTGTGATTTTCCATACTGCAGGCTGATTTAAGGTGGGGCCTAGATTGTACATAAGAAGTTGGGTGCATCTACACCAGGCATGGGCAAACTTTGGCCCTCTGGATGTTTTGGACTTTAGCTCCCACAATTCCTAACAGCTGGCTTTGAAGTCCAGAACACCTGGAGGTATGAAGTTTGCCCATGCCTGATCTATATGTAGCATTAATGCAGTTTGACACACATTCACTGCTAAATACTCTGGGAATTCTGGGAGCTGTAGTTGTGCCCCCTAAGTTATTCCACATACAGCTTGGTTCCTAGAATGTCTGATTTCCATCATCTGGACACATTCCAGCTTGTAAAAAGCATTGTACTTTTGAACTAAGAACTTGACACCTTATTCTTTAACCTTCTTTGCTCAAGCACTTAAAATGAGAGAATAGAAGCTGATGAGCACAGTACACTGCCCACATAATAAACCATACTGCTTTTAAGGACAAAAATTCCTATTTCTTCACTTCAAGAAACCATGGATTTCTGTTCTTTACTTTATCTTGTAATTTGGCAACAAGGTGAGTCATTCTTTGTGGATGGATCCATGAAGCTTTCAGAGCAACAAATATATAGGTGCTATGGGTGTGACTTCTGGTCAATTTCCCTATTTGTTAAGCCTTGTTAAGCCAAGCTTCAAGATGAGAGTGATGTGGCCAGCTCTTAGGAAAGTTTCTTTGGAGACTACAACTCCCATTAATACCTCTTAAAGGAATACTGGCACCAGCCACCTTTAATGTAACTACATTTTAAACTGTTTTGGTGGTATTTCTTGCAATGTTTATTTATGTTTTAATTATGTCTTGCTGACTATGTTATATTTTTGTCTCAATGTTTAATCCTTTGTGGTAAACTCACTGTTATTAGTGGCTCTATCATGTATTTTGATATGTTTTGTACTCAAGTAGGCATTGAATGTCTGCCTAATGTGTAAACCACCCTGAGTCCCTCAGGGAGAGGGCGGTATAGAAATAATAATAATTATTATATCTTTCCCAAGCTGTATAAATCTCAGCTAGAGCAGAGCAGAAAGTGGCAATGTGAGTGCTTCACAGTCCTTGTATTTTTCTCATTGTGTCCAAAATAGTGGGTGCATCTACACAGCAGAAATAATGGTAATTTGACTACAAATAAAAAATGTGCCTTGTGCATAGGAATTCGTGGTTCTTTTCAAACTATCGTCCATCCAAACAGAGTGAGGAACTGCGAACCAGTCTTCTGCTTAAACCGTTTGAGGACCCTTGGTGTAGATGCACCCCAAGAGGTTCACTCTCTTGTATGACCCTTACAAAGCTAGAAAGGAGAATGATATCCTGCTTTCCCCACCTCTCAAAAAAGCCATCAGAAACATACTGACTAGAAAGGTATAGATCCCTGGCTGGGCCTACACCAGACATGGACAAACTTTGGCACTCTGGGTGTTTTGGACTTCAACTCCCACCATTCCTTTCTAGGACAGGCTGAAGTTTGCCCTATGCCTGTCCTAGAAAGATTAATAGTCATATTAATCAGTTCTCTTAATTGTTTTAATAAATAATTAAAGCTTAACAAGACTCCAGTCATTAACCCACGTCCAGAAATGGCCCAAATTCTATGAGTTGGGACCACGTAGAGTAGACCCATTGAATCAACATTTAAATCGATTAATGTTGATCCAATGGTTCTGCAATATTATAAATTACTTATAATATTGTATGCTTTTCAAATTTGCAGAATGGCACCAAATTGGTGGAGGGCTCATAGTAGTCCCCATAGGACAGGATCTAAATTCGAAATGAATGTGAATTTTGAGATGAATATAAGGTACTATAATGTTGGGTGGTTTTAATTTTTATGCCTTCGTGTCTAAATGTTGTTTTAGCTTGTTTAATTGCCTTATTGATTTTAATGCATAGTTATATATTTTGTTTAGATTTATGGTTTGGTTTTATATGTAAGCGAGGCAATGAATTTTGCCATTATTTGTAGTAAACCACTTTGAGTCCGCCCTGGGCATACGCATACACTAAATAAATATTGATTAGGACTGTCATAAAGATTAATAACCATATTAACCAGGATAGCCATATGGGATAGCACAGGCATGGGCAAACTTTGGCCCTCTGTGTATTAGGAATTGTGGGAGTTGAAGTCCCAAACACCCAGAGGGGTGAAGTTTGCTAATATCTGTTGTAGAAATATTAATAATCATATTATAAATATTACATCATAACAGGGAATACAAGGGAGTATGCTACCAAGGTGGTCAGGCCCTTTCACTTCTCCAGCATCTATCCCAAACTTCCACTCAGCTGTATGAAATCCACATTGATGTGGATTATATAGCAGTGTAGAATCTAGAAAACTCAGGGCCCTTCCACACATTATCGGTTTTGAACTGGCTTATATGAGTCTACATTGTCATATAATCCAAGTCAAAGGAGAAAATTTATGATTTCATATGGCAGTGTAAACGAGGCTGAAAATGCAATGGAAAAATGTATGTTGGACCAATTATCTTCCTTACACACAAAAGCTTGAGAGTTGAACTTAGTAAAACATAGCAAAGAACAGCAGAGGACAGAAGTTGCAAAACAAACAGTGTGGAGGATGTAAATATTTAACCAGCATTCTGCAATCCCTGTGGCATATTAGGTGGGTGTATCTGCACTATAGATATAATGCACTTTGGCACCACTGTGCCATGGCTGAATGTGTCGGGATCCTGAGAGCTGTAGTTTTGCAAGTTCTTTAGCCTTCTCATGCAAGGAATGCAAATTTAAAATCCCAGGGTTCTGTAGCATTGGCCCCTTTCACATAGCTGAATAAAGTTCCACATTATCTGTTTTGAACTGGAATATATGGCAGTGTGGCCTCTGATAACCTAGGGCCCTATAATCCAGAATATCAAGACAGAACACCCCACAATATGTGCTTTGAATTGGATTATATGGCAGTGTGGACTCAAGATAGCACAGGGCCCTTCCACACAGCCATATAACTCAGATAAAGGATCTCAGGGCTGGGAAGAAGTTACATTTTGCGTGGTTTTAGGAGAGGGCTATCTGTCAAGTAAGGAAAATGTAACCCTGAAGTAGGGGGGAACCAGAGGTCTGAGAGCCCTTCAACACAGCCCTATATTCCAGAATATCAAGGCAGAAAATCCCACATTATCTGAGTGCAGTCACAGGGCCCTTCCACACAGCCCTATATCCCAGAATATCAAGGCAGAAAATCCCACAATGTCTGCTTTGATCTGGATTACCTGAATCCACACTCAGATAATGTGGGATTTTCTGCTTGACATTCTGGAATACAGGTCTGTGTGGAAGGGCCTTGAATGAGTGCCAGGCAACTCCCAATGTAGGCTGGGTCTACACTGGCAAACAATGGTCAATTTAAACTTGGCCCCCTTCCACACAGCTGAATGAAATCCTACATTTTCTGCTTTGAACTGGAATACATGGCAGTGTGGACGCAGATAACCCAGGGCCCTTCCACACCGCCCTATATCCCAGAATATCAAGGCAGAAAATCCCACAAGTCTGCTTTGAACTGGGTTATCTGAGTCCACACTCAGATAATGTGGGATTTTCTGCTTGACATTCTGGAATACAGGTCTGTGTGGAAGGGCCTTGAATGAGTGCCAGGCAACTCCCAATGTAGGCTGGGTCTACACTGGCAAACAATGGTCAATTTAAACTTGGCCCCCTTCCACACAGCTGAATGAAATCCTACATTTTCTGCTTTGAACTGGAATACATGGCAGTGTGGACTCAGATAGCCCAGGGCCCTTCCACACAGCCCTATATCCCAAAACATCGAGGCAGAATAACCCACAAGACCTGCATTGAACTGGGTTAGCTGAGTCCACACTGCCATATATACCAGTTCAAACCAGAAAATGTGAAAAATGTTGAAAGCAGATACTGTGGGATTATCCTCCTTGCTATCCTGGATGATATGGCTGTGTGGAAGGGCCGGCAGGCCTCTCTCTCAGCCACCCACCCTTTTCTCGAAGCTGGGCTGGAAGGCTGGCAAAGTAGTAGCAGCAGCAGCAGCCCCTGTACTCCCGTGGATGTCCGTCTCCCAATCCTCGACGTCCATGGCCCTCTCGAGCGTCTCCCTCCTCGGTTCTGCAAGCTGCGAGTCAAAGGAGAGAACCACCCTAGCAGCACGTGCCGCAACCGCAACTCCAACTGCCGCCGACGCCGCGCGCCAACCCGACGCTCCCTCTCCAGACGCCCCGCCTCTTCCGCTGAAGCTTCCACAGCCTTCCACAGAGCGACGGCCTCTGCTCACTTCCCCCACCAACCAATCGCAGGCCAGATAAGAAGGGGAAAAAAGGGGGCGGGGCCTCGGCGGCCGCGCGAAGAAGTGTGTTTGGCGCGCGGGTAGTCCAAGCTAAACAGGAGAGAGAGAGAGAGACAAGGCTTATCCACACAGCCTTATATAGAATCATAGAATCCAAGAGTTGGAAGAGACCTCATGGGCCATCCAGTCCAACCCCATTCTGCCAAGAAGCAGGAATATTGCATTCAAATCACCCCTGACAGATGGCCATCCAGCCTCTGTTTAAAAGCTTCCAAAGAAGGAGCCTTCACCACACTCCAGGGCAGAGAGTTCCACTGTTGAACGGCTCTCACAGTCAGGAAGTTCTTCCTCATGTTCAGATGGAATCTCCTCTTGTAGTTTGAAGCCATTGTTCCATTGCGTCCTAGTCTCCAAGGAAGCAGAAAACAAGCTTGCTCCCTCCTCCCTGTGGCTTCCTCTCACATATTTATACATGGCTATCATATCTCCTCTCAGCCTTCTCTTCTTCAGGCTAAACATGCCCAGCTCCTTAAGCCGCTCCTCATATGGCTTGTTCTCCAGACCCTTGATCATTTTAGTTGCCCTCCTCTGGACATATTCCAGCTTGTCAATAACTCTAAATATCTTTGCAGTGGTATTTATGTATTGTCGAAGGCTTTCATGGCCGGAATCACTGGGTTGTTGTAGGTTTTTTCTGGTTATATAGCCATGGTCTAGAGGCATTCTCTCCTGACGTTTCGCCTGCATCTATGGCAAGCATCCTCAGAGGTAGTAAGGTCTGCTGGAACTAGGCAAAAGGGTTTATATATTATTTATTTACCTTATTTACCTTACTTATATACCACTGTTCTCAGCCCGAAGGCGACTCACAGCGGTTCACAGCAAATACGAACAGCAAAAATTCAGTGCTACAGTATAAAAACAGTTAACAACCTAACACATCACACAATTAATAAACAGTTACTACAATACCCATTCACTGTCGTCTCGTCATCAAAAACATGTTCCAGATTCGTCATCCATTGTTCCATTCCAGTGTTCATTAACCAATCATTGCACTAATTATTCGAACGCCTGCTCAAACAGCCAGGTCTTCACTTTTTTGCGGAATACCATTAGAGATGGTGCTAGTCTAATGTCCGTAGGAAGGGCGTTCCACAGCCGAGGAGCCACCACCGAGAAGGCCCTATCTCTCGTCCCCGCCAGCCGTGCTTGAGAAGCAGGCGGGATCGAGAGCAGGGCCTCCCCGGAAGATCTCAAAGTCCTGGTGGGTTCATAGGCAGAGATGCGGTCGGATAGGTAGCTTGGGCCGGAACCATTTAGGGCTTTAAAGGCCAACGCCAGCACTTTGAATTGAGCCCGGTAGCAGATCGGTAGCCAGTGGAGTTGGCGCAACAGGGTGTATTTCAATGGCTTCTCTGTGTAGTCTGGCATGGAGGTTGTGAGAGTGGTCCAGCATTTACTTAATTGTGCAACAGAAATTCACAATAGTAACTAAAAAATTAAAAGAGCACAAGATTTATGTTATGACTATCACATATCCAAGAGTGATGGCAAAAAAATTATTTTAAGAAGGTATTTATTTATTTATTTACTTGCCATATTTGTACCCTGCCCTTTTCACCCCGAAGGGGGGCTCAAGACTGATTTACACATAGGCAACAATTCAATGCCATACAAAACTACACAGAATCATAGAGTTCCAGTCCAACTCCCTGCCAAAAAGCAGGAATATTGCATTCAAAGCACCCCTGACAGATGGCCATCCAGCCTCTGTTTAAAAGCCTCCAAAGAAGGAGCCTCCACCACACTCCGGGGCAGAGAGTTCCACTGCTGAACGGCTCTCACAGTCAGAAGTTCTTCCTAATGTTCAGATGAAATCTCCTCTCTTGTAGTTTGAAGCCATTGTTCCGCGTCCTAGTCTCCAAGGAAGCAGAAAACAAGCTTGCTCCCTCCTCCCTGTGGCTTCCTCTCACATATTTATACTTATTTATACATATTTATACATAATTAAAATAAACTATTAAAACCACACCATCCACAATCATAATCTGGGGCCATTCCAGTAGTCATTGCACATATTCCATACCCATTTATTGCACTACAATTATCTGAATGCTTGGTCCCAAAGCCATGTTTCCACTTTCTTTCTGAAGGCCAGGAGGGAGATGGCAGGTCTAATATCACTGGGAAGGGAGTTCCACAGCCGAGGGGCCAATATCAAGGCAGAAAACCCCACAATATCTGCTCTGAACTGGGTTATCCAAGTCCACACTGCCCTATATCCCAGTTCAAAACAGATAATGTGGCATTTTGTTCAGCTGTGTGGAAGGAGCCTGGGATATAGGGATGTGTGGATGGGTCCTCAGTGTCCTTCCATACAGGCATATAACCCAGAGTCCACACTACCATATATTCCAGTTCAAAGCAAAAAATGTGGGATTGTATTCAGCTGTGTGGAAGGGGCCTTAGGGCGCTTCCACACAGTCCTATATCCCAGAATATCAAGGCAGAAAGTCCCACAATATCTGCTTTGAAATGGGATATCTGAGTCCACGCTCAAATCATGTGGGATTTTCTGAATTATCTAAGGCCTCTTCCACACAGCGGAATAAAATCCCACAATTTCTGCTTTGAACTGGAATATATGGCAGTGTGGACTCAGATAACCCAGTTCAAAGCAGATATTGTGGGATTTTCTGCCTTTATATTCTGGGTTATATGGCTGTGTGGAAGGGCTCTCAGATAACCCAGTTCCAAGCAGATATTGTCCAGATTATCTGCTTTGAACGGGATTATATGGCAGTGTAGACTCATATAATCCAGTTCAAAACAGATAATGTGGATTTGATGATCTGAATTATATGACAATGTGAGAGCCTGTAACTTTTTCCAGCTTGTGATCATAGAATCATAGAATCAAAGAATGGGAAGAGACCTCATGGGCCATCCAGTCCAACCCCATTCTGCCAAGAAGCCAGGAATATTGCATTCAAATCACCCCTGACAGATGGCCATCCAGCCTCTGTTTAAAAGCTTCCAAAGAAGGAGCCTCCACCACACTCCGGGGCAGAGAGTTCCACTGCTGAACAGCTCTTACAGTCAGGAAGTTCTTCCTCATGTTCAGATGGAATCTCCTCTCTTGTAGTTTGAAGCCATTGTTTCGCGTCCTAGTCTCCAGGGAAGCAGAAAACAAGCTTGCTCCCTCCTCCCTGTGGCTTCCTCTCACATATTTATACATGGCTATCATGTCTTCTCTTCTTCAGGCTAAACATGCCCAGCTCATTAAGCCGCTCCTCATAGGGCTTGTTCTCCAGACCCTTGATCATTTTTAGTCGCCCTCCTCTGGACACATTCCAGCTTGTCAATATCTCTCTTGAATTGTGGTGCCCAGAATTGGACACAATATTCCAGGTGTGGTCTAACCAAAGCAGAATAGAGGGGTAACATTACTTCCCTAGATCTAGACACTATGCTCCTATTGATGCAGGCCAAAATCCCATTGGCTTTTTTTGCCGCCACATCACATTGTTGGCTCATGTTTAACTTGTTGTCCACGAGGACTCCAAGATCTTTTTCACACGTACTGCTCTCAAGCCAAGCATCCCCCATTCTGTATCTTTTCGTTTTTTTCTGCCAAAGTGGAGTATCTTGCATTTGTCACTGTTGAACTTCATTTTGTTAGTTTTGGCCCATCTCTCTAATCTGTCAAGATCGTTTTGAATCCTGCTCCTGTCCTCTGGAGTATTGGCTATCCCTCCCCATTTGGTGTTGTCTGCAAACTTGATGATCCTGCCTTCTAACCCTTCATCTAAGTCATTAATAAAGATGTTGAACAGGACCGGGCCCAGGCAGAACCCTGCGGCACTCCGCTCGTCACTTCTTTCCAGGATGAAGAGGAAGCATTGGTGAGCACCCTCTGGGTTCGTCCATTTAACCAATTACAGATCCACCTCACCGTAGTTTTGCCTAGCCCACATTGGACTAGTTTCCTTGCCAGAAGGTCATGGGGGACCTTGTCGAAGGCCTTACTGAAATCCAGGTACGCTACATCCACGGCATTCCCCGCATCTACCCAGCTTGTAACTCTATAGAAAAAAAGAGATCAAATTAGTTTGGCGTGATTATTAGTCTGGCATGTTTACTATTAGCGATGACCGCATTTGTTTCTAAGTGTTTGCAGACCACTTCCTTAACAATCTTTTCCAGAATCTTGCCTGGTATCGACGTGAGGCTGACCGGACGGTAATTGTTTGGGTCATCCTTTTTTCCCTTCTTTAAGATTGGGACCACATTGGCCCTCCTCCAATCTGTTGGAACTTCTCCGAGATGACTTCCGCTAGTTCAGTGGTTCTCAACCTTCCTCATGCCGTGACCCCTTAATCCATTTCCCCATGTTGCGGTGACCCCCAATCATAACAGTAATTTCGTTGCTACTTCATAACTGTCATTTTGCTACCGTTATGAATCATCGTGTAAATATCTGATATGCAGGATGTGTCTTCATTCACTGGACCAAATTTGGCACAAATACCCAATCCGCCCAAATTTGAATACTGGTAGGGGTTTGGGGGGGGGGGATTGATTTTGTCATTTGGGAGTTGTAGTTGCTGGGATTTATAGTTAACCTTCAATCAAAGAGCGTTCTGGGAATCCTTGACACACAGGATTCCCATGACCAACAGAAAATACTGGAAGGGTTTAATGGGCATTGACCTTGAGTTTTGGAGATGTAGTTCACCTACACCCAGAGAGCACTGTGGACTCAAACAATAATGGATCTGGACCAAACTTGGCACGGATACTCTATTTGCCCTAATGTGAACACTGGTGGAGTTTGGGAACAATAGACCTTGACATTTGGGAGTTGTAGTTGCTGGGATTTATAGTTTGCCTACAATCAAAGAGCATTCTGAACCCCACCAATTGGACCAAACTTCCCACATAGAACCCCCAGAACCAATAGAAAACACTGTGTTTTCTGATGGTCTTTGGAGACCCCTCTGACACCCCCTCACGACGCCCCAAGGGGTCCCGACCCGCAGGTTGAGAAACGTTGCGCTAATTCCTTCAGCACTCTTGGGTGTATTTGATCTGGCCCTGGGGACTTGAACTCATTTAGAGCGGCCAGGTATTCCTGGACTACTTGTTTCCCAATTTGGGGTTGGATGTCCTCTACTCCCTCATCCACTCCACCTTGCTGAGGTTGAAGATGACTCTTTTTGTGAGAAGACTGAGGCAAAGAAGGCATTAAGTAGTTCTGCTTTTTTCCTATCCCCTGTCAGCATTGCCCCATCTGGAATTAGATCCTGGGATATAGAGCAGTGTCTTTCCAGCCCGAAACTCAGCTGTGCAATACACTTTCTGAACAACAGAAGCCACACCTTATCTGAAGCCATCGACTTCTGGACACTTTTGCTTCTGGTTAGGTCCTTTTTTCTTTTGACAGAAACATGACAGGAAACAAATTTGCTAAGATGGTAGTATTGTCATGCAAAAAAAGACGCCCTCTTCCATATTTGCCAATTGTGCAATAGTTGAGAGTACAGATGCTTTTAGGAAGTGGAAAGTTAGCATATTTTTGTGCAGCTCAGCAAAACAACAGCTTCTTGGTGAGTGCTACAAACAGTTATTTCCACTATGAACCAAAAGAATTGAAATAACCCATTATTTGTCTAAGAGCGTCATCTGGCAATGTTTCTCAAAAAGCAAGTCTTTGATTAGGTATAATGCATGGGATTTGCATGTTTGCTTTTCAGCTCTTAAATCTGAAGTGTGTCTATTTGTAGTGTGTTCAAGGGTCAATTCAGCTGGATGTTTGAGTTTCTATGGCCCCTTCCACACAGGTGTATAAAATCCACATTGAAGTGGATTATAGGCAGTGTGGAGTTAGGGCCCTTCCACACAGCCATATAACCCAGAATATAAAGATAGAAAATCCCATGATACCGGCTTTGAACAGGATTATCTGAGTCCACACTGCCATATTTTAGTTCAAAGCAGATAATGTGGGATTCCGTTCAGCTGTGTGGAATAAATAAAAGAAAACTACTGCAACCTCTTGTACATGCATAAAAGTAATTCAGTTTGACACCACTTTAACTTCCACAACTCAATACTACAGAACCCTGGGATTTTAGATTTGGTAGCCTCCAGCTTTCCTTGCGAGAGAATGCTAAAGAACTTGCAAAACAACAACTCCCAGGATTCCATCCCATTGAGCCATGGCAAAGTGATGCCAAAGTGCATTATATCTATAGTATAGATACACCTAAGCCGCAGGGACTGAAGAAAGCTACGGTAATTAAATATTTATGTTCTCCACACTGTTTGTTTTGCAACTTCTGTCCTCAGCTGTTCTTTACTATGTTTTGCTAACATCAGTTCTTCAATATCTCAAGCTTTTGTGTGTGAGGAAGATAATCAGTCCCAACACATACATTTTTGCCTTTGCATCATCGGTCTCCTCTACAGTGCCATATAAAATCCAGATTATCTGCTTTGAACTGGATTATATGACAATGTTGACTCATATAATCCAGTTCAAAACCAATAATGTGGATTATCGGTTTTGATAATCTGGATTAAATGGCAGTGTAGAAGGGGCCTTCCTCAGTTCTGTTTACTACAGTCCTTTCCAGATGAGATTGTCACAAACTATTGTGTGGATAATGAACACAAAATAGCACGCACAAAACAGCATTGCGATGTACTGTTTCAAAATTGTTTCAGGGCCCTTCTACACTGCCATAAAACCCAGATAATTCACATTATCTTATTTGAACTGGATAATCGGAGTGCCCTTCCAGACAGGCCCTATATCCAAGGATCTAATCCCAGGTTATCTGCTTTAAACTGGATTATATGAGTTCGTACTGCCAGATAATCTGGGATAAGCAGAAAACCTGGGATATAGGGGCTGTCTGGAAGGGATCAGAGGCCCCTTCTACACTGCCAGAAAATCCAGATTATCAAAGCAGAAAATCTTCATTATCTGCTTGGAACTAGATTATTTTAGTCTACACTACCATATAATCCAATTCAAAGCAGATGTGAATTTTATATGACAGTATAGATGGGTCCAGAGTCTATACTGCCTTATAATCCAGTTCAAATCAGATAATCTGGATTTTATACAGCTGTGTAGAAGGGGCCTCAGGCTCTTTCCTCACAATCCATAGTTCAATTTACTTTTTTTAAAGTCCTGAGCTTCAGGCTCCTTCAATACTGCCATAGAATCCAGATTATCAAATCATATAATCCACATTATCTGCTTTGAAATGGATTATATGGCAGTGTGGACTCAGGTAACCCAGTTCAAAGCAGATATTGTGGATTATCTGCCTTGATATTCTGGGTTACAGGGCTGCGTGGAAGGGTCCTGAGTCCATACTGCCAAATTACTCAGAATATCAAGACAGAAAATCCCACTTTATCTGCTTTCAACTGGATTATAGGGCAGTGTGGACTCAGATAACCCAGTTCAAAGCAGATATTGTGGATCATCTGCCTTGATATTCTGGGTTATAGGGCTGTGTGGAAGGCTCCTGAGTCCGTACTGCCAAATTACTCAGAATATCAAGACAGAAAATCCCACTTTGTCTGCTTTGAACTGGATTATAGGGCAATGTGGACTCAGATAACCCAATTAAAAACAGATATTGTGGATCATCTGCCTTGATATTCTGAGTTATAGGGCTGTGTGAAAGGCTCCTGGGTCCATACTGCCAAATTACTCAGAATATCAAGACAGAAAATCCCACTTTATCTGCTTTGAACTTGATTATAGGGCAGTGTGGACTCAGATAACCCAATTAAAAACAGATATTGTGGATCATCTGCATTGATATTCTGGGTTATAGGGTATGTGGAAGGCTCCTGAGTCCATACTGCCAAATTACTCAGAATATCAAGGCAGAAAATCAAGGCAGTATGGACTCAGGAGCCTTCCACACAGCCCTATAACCCAGAATATCAAGGCAGATAATCCACAATATCTGCTTTGAACTGGATTATATGGCAGTGTGGACTCAGATAACCCAATTAAAAGCAGATATTGTGTATCATTTGCCTTGATATTCTGGGTTATAGGGATGTGTGGAAGGCTCCTGAGTCCATACTGCCAAATTACTCAGAATATCAAGACAGAAAATCCCACTTTATCTGCTTTGAACTGGATTATAGGGCAGTGTGGACTCAGATAACTCAGTTCAAATTTATTGTGGATTATCTGAGTTGATATTCTGAATTATATGGCTGTGTGGAAGGTCCCTGAGTCTACACTGCCATATAAAGTAGCTGGAAGGATATAATCTAGATTCCCCGTGGCAGAGTAGAAGGGGTCATAGATAGGAAAGATGTTATGGGTAAAGCGAAAGGAAAGAAAAGGGGTGATCTATAATTTCTTGCTCTATGTTCCCCTGGTGAAGCTTAGGCACAGAAGGTGTGTTCTCTAATGCAGATAGCTCTATGGCGCACCACATGCTGGAAGCTCCAGCTCCCTCCTTCCTGTTGATGTTCTTTGGCCGGGAGGGAGGGATCCGACCCACATCCTGGGGAAAGGCATGGTCAGGCAGATCCTTTGCAGGTAAGAGGGCAAATCACTACTTTTCATTCGATTGCTTGCACTATTTGGGGCATCATGCTTTGGGATCTGTATAAAGCAGATAATGTGGGATTTTATGCAGCTGTCTGGAAGGGGCCCTCGTGGAGCAAGTGCCTGAATTGTTTGCAAACAGGATCATGATCATGAGCCCACTTCTAGAATAATTTGGGACATTTAAACAGCCTAGAGCAGCATTTATGATTAGCAGCCATGTAAGACTATTAAAATAGTTTTCATTTTCACATTTCCAAAACTTCATGGATGTTGGAAGGATGGGCATCTGTGCACATTCAGAAGAAGACCTACATGCCACTCTAAACACCTTCGCAGAAGGATACGAGAAGCTTGGCCTGCCATTGAACATCAAGAAAACCAAAGTGCTGTTCCAGCAGTCACCAGCCAATCCCTCTCCAATGCCAGAGATACAGCTTAACGGTGTAACATTAGAAAATGTTGACCATTTCCACTACCTTGGCAGCCACCTCTCCACAAAAGTCAACATTGACACTGAAATACAACACCGCCTGAGCTCTGCGAGTGCCGCATTTTTCTGAATGAAGCAGAGAGTGTTTGAGGACTGGGACATCCGTAGGGAGAACAAGGTGCCTGTTTATAAAGCTACTAGCCATCCCCTGCCACGCGTTGCTGTGGCCCACATGGCGGTTCTGTGTGGGAGGTTTGGCCCAGTTCTATCGTTGGTGGGGTTCAGAATGCTCTTTGATTGTAGGTGAACTATAAATCCCTGTGACTACAACTCCCAAATGTCAAGGTCAATTTCCCCCAAACTCCATCTGTGTGCATATTTGGTCGTATTGAGTGCTTGTGCCAAGTTTGCTCCAGATCCATCATTGTTTGATTCCACAGTGCTCTCTGGATGCAGGTGAACTACAACTTCCAAACTCAAGGTCAATGTTCACCAAACACTTCCAGTATTTTCTGTTGGTCATGGGAGTTCTGTGTGCCAAGTTTGGTTCAGTTCCATCGTTGATGGAGTTCAGAATGCTCTTTGATTGTAGGTGAACTATAAATCCCAGCAACTACAACTCCCAAATGACAAAATCATAATTTTTTGAGTGATGGTCACTCCTTGTGTTGTGAGACATTTTGTTGCCAAATTTGGTGTGATTTCGTTCATTGGTTCTTTTGTTTTTAAGGTACTCATTATGCACGGAGCATTTTTATATATATAGATTGTCCTCCCAACCCTGCTATATGTCTGCAAGACGTGGACTATCTACAGCAGTGCTTCTCAACCTGTGAGTCCCCAGGTGTTTTGGACTACAATTCCCAGAAATCCCAGCCAGTTTACCAGCTGTTAGGATTTCTGGGAGTTGAAGGCCAAAACGTCTGGGAATCCACAGGTTGAGAACCACTGATCTACAGACATCACATGCAACTCGTAGAATGATTCCATCAGTGTTGCCTCCCAAAAATCCTGCAGATCTCTTGGGAAGACAAGCAGACAAATGCGGCATGCTGGAAGAAGCAAAGACCACCAGCATTGAAGTGATGGTCCTCTGCCATCAACGCCGCTGGATCAGCCGCGTTGTCCGGATGCCTGACCACCGTCTCCCAAAGCAGTTGCTCTACTCCAAACTCACGAATAGAAAACAGTATGTTGGGCAGGAAAAGAGATTTAAAGATGGGCTCAAAGCCAACCTTAAAAACTCTGGCATAGACACTAAGAACTGGGAAGCCCTGGAGGTCAGCTGTGACCAGCAGTGCTGTAGAATTTGGAGAGGCACAAATGGAGGACGAAAGAGAGAAATGTGCCAAGAGAAAGCGCATCAAGCCAACCCCGACCAGGACCACCTTCCACCTCCCTCAGTGCGGGAGAACATGCAGGTCAAGAATAGGGCTCCACAGTCACCTACGGACCCACGACCAGTGCACTGATCATGGAAGACAATCCTACTCGGACAACAAGGGATCGCCTAAGAAGTAAAGTAGTAGTTAGAATGGCCAATAATGAATCTTTTGAAAATGTTAAAGGTTGGCAGCCTGTTTTTGATAAAAGACCGTCATCCAAGGTCCCTTCCACATAGCCCTATATCCCAGAATATCAAGGCAGAAAATCCCACATTATCTGAGTGTGGACTCAGATAACCCAGTTCAAAGCAGATACTGTCTTGTGTAGTGTTTTGAAAGCAGACAGCAAAAAATTAAATTAGTTTGGTATCCATGCTACCTTCTGAATCAGACACAAGGGCAGCCAGATATTCCAGTTCAAAGCAGATACTGTAGGTTATTCTGCCTTGATATTCTGGGTTATAAGGCTGTGTGGAAGAGCCCTTATTATCTGCTGAGGTTTGCTTCCAGAACCTCCTGTGGATACCAAAATACATGGAAACTGGAATCCCATTATATATGGTGGTGCAGTAAAATTGAGTACCTTATTTAAAAGGGAAAATCAAACTTTGTATTTTGGATTATGTTTGTGTGTATGTGATATTTTCAAACGATGGATGGTTGAATTTGTGGGTGAAAAATCTGTGGATATAGAGAACCAACTATATGGCTGAAAGAGTAAAATTAATATGTAGTTAAACCCAATTTAAAGCGTGCAATTAAAAACAACCCAAACAATACACAAACAAACAATAAAAAACAACAATTTAAGCAATGCACTGAAATTGCATGCTTGTGGTATCAATGTATTTTGATATCATAATCATAGTCATGATTATGCAATGCTAAATAATAGCAACAGCCTTTCAGATGAAAGTGGTGGTCCTAAACATAATCTGAATTACAAATTAAGATCTTCTGGAGGGGCCCTTCGCAATTGCGTCTGGTGGGGACGAGAGACAGGGCCTTCCCAGTGGTGGCCTCTCGGCTGTGGAACTCGCTCCCAATGGCGATTAGATCTGCCCCTTCCCTCCTGACTTTCAGAAAGCTAGTGAAATCCTGGCTCTGGGACAGAACATTCTCAGAATGATTGGCGAGTCAACAATAACCTAATAACTACTGGCCACACTGGCAGACTGTGATGAATGTGATTTTATCTTGACGATTTGGCTTTATGTATTTATTCTGTTTGTATTTTAATGTATTATGGTGTTATGATGTTATTAGTTTACTTGTGTATGCATTTTCTGTTGTTAGCTGGCCTGAGTCCCTCTGCGGAGGTTGAGAAGACCGGGATATAAAAGTTCTGAATCAATCAATCAATCAATAAAAAACCTGCCCTTATTTTCAAGTGACGAGGCAAGGAAAGATTGATTTTTCAGGCTTCTTGTTCTCTGACCAAGTACAGTAACTTTGGGTCAAGCAGCAACTTCAGTCTGTTGAAACAGCTGAGTTTCAGATTTGCTCAAACTGAAATGTTGACATCAGCTTTTTGAATTATGATGACTAAACTTTCCAAGTCCTGCGGTGGAAATAAATGGATACTTAGGTAGTACTAGTCAACAGGGGACTAAAATCCATTTTGAGATTAGTGTTATTTATATTTTTGAAACCCACAAAGGAATACCCAAACAACAATCTAACTTGATATTAATACCAACTTTTGATCATTTAATGCACTTTCAAGCCGTTATTGAAGAAAGTGGTTTCGCTGTGATGATGATTACATAAGAAATCCTGGAACCCGTTTGATGGTGGTGACACAAACCAACAAAGCACCAATGCACATTTGTGTGCTTTTCTGGGAGTTTGTTGTCTGGGCATTTCAGTTTGAAACTATCTTCAAACTTCATGAAATGTTTAGTGTATTTGAGGCCTTATTGATAAATCCCCAGTACCACACTTCGTGCCTGAATGACCTGGGGCTTAGTTTTGACTAGACATATATAAGAGTGTCCTGGTATTTTCTTATTCTCGAAATCTTCGACAGATAACAGGGATTATGTTGGAAAACAAGACTCCATTGACTTTAAAAGGAAGCCTGTGATACAATTTGCAACTGAGTCAGCACCATTGTTTGCACTGTTATCTTGAAACTTCCTGTGACTTCTTGTGTTTTCTCTACTAATTTAATCTGCTGGTTTCTGTGTTTTTCTTCTCAGTAAAAACAGTCTGTGTCCCTTTGTGCTCAAGAACATGGAGTTCTATGTCTAGCTTTGCAGCATCCTTTAAAAAACTGAAATTTACACCCTGACGTCTTTGTACAGTGAGTATTTCACACACACACACACACACACACACACACACTTGTTCACATTGCTAAGCAACACTAAATTTGTTTCCCCCTCTGCTGGCTGTCATGACTTGCTTGTCTCATTGAAAGTTTTATGACAAAGGGAAAGAGACAATGATGGACTAGACTTCTGCATAATGAACAGTGTAATTCAGCAGAAATGGGATGGAGATTATTTCCGTGTTGCAGCCTGTTGTGTTTAACCATAATGTTTGGGCTGCTTCAAGGATTACAAAGGCAAAGTGAAGAGAATGATTAAAACAAAAACTTCAGGTAGGAATTAGAAGAAGAAAAAAGTAATATCACTACCTTGTTACTTCTTGCTCAGTGGGTTATGGCCCATTTTTTAAATGTTGGTGTTTATAGCATTAGTGACAATGTCTCCAGGTTAGTATTTCGTAATCCTTCTTGTAGCTATACTTAAAAAAAAACTTTGTAAAATCCAATTATTCAATTACCTATACACATGATAAAAGTGAAGAGTGTGTTTGTGGGGAGGGGGGGGTGTCCACTTACACAGACAAGCTCCTGCCTCCACAAACATCTATATCTCACTCTACTCAGGAGACACCAATGGCCCTCTCTCCACTAACATTGCAGGTTATGGTGAGTGCCATGAACATGTCCAAGAGCCCTGCCAATGTCCTAAACAAATACAAGACTGCCTACCACCTGAGTGAAGGCTTTCATAAAGGGGCAATTTCATCCTAGATTTTCTGTGTTTCCTCCACCACAGAAATCCCAGCGTTTCTTACTCTCTCCATTGGTGTGGAATTTGCATGACCCCGCCCGCTGCCTCTCCAATAACCCTTTCCGATGGCACACAGCAAACAGGAATTGATCAGTAGCTGAACATACTGGAAGGGGTTGGGGGACTGAATCAACATGATCGAAGTTGTAGTTCAACCTCTGTTATCGAGCAGTGGATAGTGAGGTCCAAACCATTGTGGGTTAAACCTGGTGAGAAAGAGAAACGAATATTCCAGAATAAATCTCACCAAATTGAAGCAAAAGCCACCAACGTATTTATTTAATTTCAGCTGAAAGTGATGCCGGCTTGCGATAATCCGCCCTCCAACTAAGCTTAGTTACACAGCACAGTAAAACGTGTACTTTTATAGACTTTTCAGGTTCAAAATTCCCTCCGCCCCCAGCTGGACCTGGCTTGGCATGATTGGCCAAGCCTGGATGACGTCAATGAGGTCTCCCTGGGGACTGAATGCACAACCTTATGCATTTTATACCATTAAAAAATGATTTATTCAAATAACCCATGTAAGTCGGGTACCCAAGCTAGTTTTAAAATAAAACTGAGGAAATTCATCCTTTGTCACAACCCTCATTTCCTGTTATCCAGTATTTGACTTTGCCAGGAAATACAAGATATATGAAATGGAATGGCAGTAGCTCACAACAATTTCACTATTTTACTTTAAAGGTTAAAAGAACTTGCCACGATAGATAAAAAAGCATCATTTCGATATGGAGGAAGATATTAAACCTCTTATCATCCCTGTTGGAGGTGATGAAAATGACGTTGGAGTCCTGAACATTCAGTTTAACCCAGAGGACTTGAAGTGCAAAAGGTGAGGAAAACTGTCAATGAACCTGGAAATATATGGATGTGTATGTTTCGAGTGTAAGCTTTGGTCAGGTTTTAGGATTAGTTTTGTATTATTGTAGTTTTCTTTCCGTTCATCCTTTCATTTCACAGGATCTTGCCTCTAATGGGTGAAAAATGGTGATATAGAAGGATAGTCACAATATTACTCATATTACAGCATGAGTAGTAAAATCTAGAATAGTACTCAACCACATTCTGATGTAATCCCAGGTCTGAATTGAAATTAGAAATCTGTGGTTTCCCAGCAGTGTTATTTCCCACAAACTAGCAATCAGGAAACATTGTCCTTTCAGATTATTTAGATCCCAGCTTCCTAAGCCATAGCTAGCATGGTCAGTAATAAGAACTTTTGGGAATTGTAGTCCAAAGTATGGAAAAGTCAACAGCTTCCTGTGTGTGTATATATGTGTCTTCAAGTAGCTTGTTGACCGATGGTGACCACATTAATTCTTTAGGCAATTCCTTCCTGTGAAATATAGTCTACAGTGTTATGGTTGGATAATGCATGCAGACCAGCAGAAGAGTAGTCGGTTGTATATTCAAAAAAGAGCAACACAAGTAGAAGAAATGCAAAACTTAAATTTTAGTTTTGTGCAGCAGAGTTCATTAAAAAAAGGTCGCAACTTCAACACAAATTTTCTAGTAATAATACAGTCACAGTTCCTCTGGAGTATCAAACTCACGTATGGTCCTTGCATTTAATTCATGCAATGCTTCCTATTAAAAAATATGTCTTCTCTCAATCTTCATTCTTGTTCATGGAGACAAGTATGGAAGACAAACTTGCCAGTGTCGAATAGGCTGCAAGCCAGGAACTTACGCCAAGTAAGCTGAGAGGCAAACATACAACAAACTATGTATTGTCGAAGACTTTCATGGCCGGAATCACTGGGTTTTGTGCTTTCAAGGCTGTATGGTCATGTTCCAGAACCATTCTCTCCTGACATTTCTCTTGCATCTATGGCAGGCATCCTCAGAGGCTTCTGGAACATGACCATACAGCCCAGAAAACACAAAACAACCCATACAACAAACTCTTTCCATTTATACCTGTGGTTCTCAACCTGTGGGTCCCCAGGTGTTTTGGCCTACAACTCCCAGAAATCCCAGCCAGTTTACCAGCTGTTAGGATTTCTGGGAGTTGAAGGCCAAAACATCTGAGGACCCACAGGTTAAGAACCATTGAGTTATACCCCTTTGGGAGTGGCCCAAAACTTGTTGACCTTAATTACATCCATTTCTAAGCCTGTGGATTGTAATTAACTAGGGTGAGTCTTTTTCTCTTAACACACACGGTAGTGATCCCACAGAAACTTAGCCATGCACCTGGCATTAACTGTCTTATCCTTAACCCTCTCTTTTTAAAAGTTAAAAGTTACTTAAAAGTTGCTGACAAAATAACCCTTATTCTCCATAAGTGCTACTACGAAGATTCAGTGTTGTACGAGCAAAGAGAGTTCTTGTTTATATAGTGTAGAAAATATTATAAGATTGAAATCCTGAGTAGGACTGTGTATGTAGACTGAGCATAACTGTATGTGTTTGTAAGTGATTGACTGCAGCAACTAGGAGTGAACAATATTATTGTGTAAAATGATTCTCTCAGGGGAAGGCTTTGATTACACTTCCAGGCCCTTTCCACACAGTTGGATAAAATCCCACATTATCTGCTATGAACTGGAATATATGGCAGTGTGGACTCGGATAAGCCAGTTCAAAGCAGATATTGTGGGATTTTCTGTCTTTATATTCTGGGTTATATGGCTGTGCGGAAGGGCCTCCAGAGATTGGAAAAGTTACTTTAAGGACCTATTGATTCCAGATTTTCTGGGCCAGTATACTCATTTGGGAGTTGTAGTCATCCTAAAATAAAATTTCCATGCTCAGAACAGTTGTTTACTGATTATGTTATGTATCTGCACAGTTGAATTGACTCTACAACACAGCAAAGCAGATTGGGATAGATTAGAAAAGTGAGACTATTGAGGAGCAATCCTTAATGAGGTTGTGACCTTGCAAAGTTCCTAGGAAAACTACGAGCTAGTTAGTGTCCTTGAGTGTATGTTGAAATGTTGTACAGTATATGCTTAAGGAAAAATTTGCCACATATTAAAAAGTTTGAGGTCAGTCAACTAACAGGAAGTCCTTGGATTAGACAGTTGTCTCTTGTCTTGGAAGGCTCTCAAGATAACGTTTGTGCCATTGTATTTAATCTATGTTAGCACTTATCTCTTCCCTTCCTTAAACAAAGGCATCTTGAGCGTATCACATGTGTTTCTGTAAGACAGCTTTACTGTATTCAAATAGCTGGAGAGATGCTTAACTGTAAATCTGTGTTCCCAGGCCCAAAGAAAGCCATAGCTTCTCAGGGCCTTTCCACTTGTTCTGCCCAATCAAATGCAATTTGTTTCATAAAGATCAAGCAGACAGAACATATTGTAAAGAACAAAAATAACTTTCTAGCCTTGCATCACACAAATGCAGCTGAATAAAATATATTTTAATTGGATAAGCAAAACTCTGCTCTTTCAGATGTTTTGGACTTCAAACAGCTGGAAAGCAAACTGGGATTTCTGGGAGCTGAAGTCCAAAACACCTGGAGGAGCAGAGTTTTGTTTTTTGTTTTTTTTAAAAAAAACCACTCTAAAGCAAATAGGCACTTGTAAACCTTCAGATCTTTTTGGACTGCATCTCCATTAATCTCTTACCACTGACTGTGGTCTTTGAAACTAAAGGGAATTGTAGGCCAGAAAAAACCACCTAAAAGTCCACATGTTCCCCACTTCTACCTTAAAGACACATAGAAGGTAAACTTTATGTTCTTCTCATTTTGCGCTGAAATGCATTGTTTGTATTGTTTAAACATTTGTTTTACTTTGTTTGATTGACATGCTTTGTTTGAATTGTTTTGATTTTTTTTAGGGCAGCTTGGAAATATTTTCCTAAACAAATTCTAAAGCTCTTTATAAACATTTAACTTTGTTTTTTTTTTTAAATTTAGAGCTGTGGTCTATTGGGGTTTTATTTTAAAGCAAAAGGATCTGGAATTATTGTAAAAGAGAAAGGAAGTTCAGGATGTATCCAAAGTTGTTGTGTTTTTTTTAAAGCCCAATGCATTTTGGAAATATTTGGTCAGGAAATTTGTATGATGTCTCCTTCAGAGAAAAGCAATTTGATACAGTGATTGCAGAAAACGTGCCTCCAAATTTGACAAATGAATTATAGAATAATAGAGTTGGAAGAGATCTCGTGGACCATCCAATCCAACCCCTTGCCAAGAAGCAGGAAAATCGCATTCAAAGCACCCTTAACAGATGGTCATCCAGCCTCTGTTTAAAAGCCTCCAAAGAAGGAGCTGGCTCCAAAGAAAGAGCTTCCTCCACACTCCAAGACAGAGTTCCACTGCTAAACAGCTCTCACAGTTAGGAAATTCTTCCTCATGTTCAGGTGGAATCTCCTTTCCTGTAGCTTGAAGCCATTGTTCCTGCATCCCAGTTTCCAGGGCAGCAGAAAACAAGCTTGCTCCCTCCTCCCTATGACTTCTCTTCACTTATTTATACATGTCTATCATGTCTCCTCTCAGCCTTCTCTTCTGCAGGCTAAACATGCCCAGCTTTTTAAGCCACTCCTCATAGGGCTTGTTCTCCAGACCCTTGATCATTTTAGCCGTCCTTCTTTGGACACATTCCAGCTTGTCAATGAGGGTTTTTTGGGGATTAGATTTGTTTGGGAACATGTGGCTCTCCAAATGAAGTGGAATTGCCACTGATAACATTCCTTATCCCTATCTATACAGCTAAAAGCTGAAAGTTGCAGTTCAAATCACCTGACCCTAAAATAATTTTTTACTATGTTAGGCTGAATCATGGAGAATTAATCATTATGGATACATGAAGCTTCTGGATTTAGGGCAGTATGAATGCTGACTGCTAGAGCAGTGGTTCCCAACCTGTAGTCTGTGGACCACCAGTGGTTCACAAGAACTAAAATATGGTCTGCAGCCTCACCGTTACTAGACCGTTGCAATGAGAGCAATGGTGTAAGAGGGTAATGCGAAACCCTCTTATAGTGCCGAGGCTTATTAAATATGTTTTTTTGTGGACGAGCAGATGGTGACTACTGGATGGCATATGTTCTGTATCAGAAACTAGAGCTGATGTGATCTATCCAATGCAATTTTCTGAATCGGCACACCAAATAACCAAACCGAATCTAAAATTGACCAAAAAACAGATTGGTAATCGTTTTGGTACTAATGTTGGAGAGTGGTCCCTGGTCAAGTGGTTCCTGGTCAAAAAAAGGTTGGAAACTGCTGCGCTAGAGGAAGCAACAACAGGAGAGGGCCGTTGTTTGTGGGATCTTCAGAGCTCCACAATTCCTTGGCTGTTGTGGGAACTAGGATGTTGAAAGATAGGCCTTTGGTCAGGTTCACCAAGCCTCTTCCTCTGTTCTTGCTTTTGACATATACATTTCCCTGCTATTTGACCTCAGTTTCTTCACTGAATGACTCATGTACCGTATGATCAGAATAAATGAAGTAAACATGTTGCCTTTCCCGAAAAAAACTTTTTATCAGTTTCCTTAAGCCTTGAAGGATGTTGCTATCAGGTGGCCGCTTGTCAAGGTGCATTGGAGAGGTCAGCATATGAGACCAAAAGCATTGCTGTTAGAAGAAAAAAGACAAGATATTGTGTTTGCTAATACCGAGCAGGGAAAGCCTTGTATTGCTCAGTCGTACCCAGATTAAGTCTTTTTTTATGCAAACTGTTCGGGACCAGAAGCTTTTTTGGATTTGTTTTTAGTTGTTTGAATGCCTGTATTTGCATATACATAGTGCATGAAATAAGTGGGGAGGGGTAGTTGCATGTCCAGTGTCTTTTTGAGTTTTCCCCCAAGGGATTTCAGCACACTTTCCATTGTTTTGGTGAAGGCGGAAATCTCCCCTGTCCATAAGTATTTTTCATTCCCTTTGCCCTGTAGCAGCAACCAGTAAGGTTACTCTATGCCAGTGGTTCTCAACCTGTGGGTCCCCAGGTGTTTTGGCCTACAACTCCCAGAAATCCCAGCCAGTTTACCAGCTGTTAGGATTTCTGGGAGTTGAAGGCCAAAAACATCTGGGGACCCCAGGTTGAGAAACACTGCTCTGTGCAGTTGTTTCCACAGCATCCACCTTGCTGCACGCAGGCCAGCAGAAGGCAAGTCCGTCAAATGTTTGGGGTGTCTGCTTTAAATAGGAACCTTGTATAAGCAGAGTATATCGGAGCTCCTTGAGGAAAAACTCAGTGAATACTGGGCATATGACTAAACCCCTTTCTCCAGTGGTGGAAATGGGCAGGTGTCAATAAATATTTTGGGGTTTGGAGTAATTTGGATTTCCAGATAAGGGAGAGTCAATCTGTATAGCTATTTAACTACATACCATATTTGTCATTATAAAATGCAAATAGTTTACAAATAGATTCCTTTCAGAAACAGCTATTTGTTACAAGATCAACATATATTGACTTTTTGTTGCTCTTTTAGGCCGTTTCACATAGAACCTACAAATATTGTTAATGTGAATGATGACATGCAGAGGGTTACAGCAGAAGCTTCGGCAATGAATAAACGGATACACTACTACAGTAGGCTTTCTTCACCTTCAGACAGAGCACTGGTGAGAGAAAAAAAGATGTATTACTATGAGCCAATCTCCCTGCTGTCTGCCTTTGCCAGGCTTCTTCTGTGATAGCAATGTTTTGCCTGAACAATTTTGGGGTAAAGTTGTAAGATCTCCTCTATCATCTGGCTGAATACTCTTTGTTCCACGTGCAGTAAAAATGCAAAGAAAAGAAGATAATTGGTTGATGTGTATTAAGTTCTAGTAAGCAAGTGAAAAGAATTTGAAGAACCTTTTTTCAAAATTAAGATGCTTCCAGCTCTTCAAAGCATCTTGGAGATGGTCAGCATTAGACTGCATTGGTTACTAAATGGATGGGCATAAGATTGCCATTGTCTTAATGTTGTGGATTCTGAAATAGGTGCTGCAGCTATAAAATCATGCAGGATTTGTTTAGTACTTTAAAATTAGATTATGACAAGCATTTGTAAACCCCAACATTCTGGGGAATCAAAGTTTCTGAAATTATGGATACTCTGTATACCAAGCATGGTCAAATTTGGGCCCTTTAGGTGTTTTGGACTTCAACTCCCACAATTCCTAACAGCCTACCAGCCCAGAATTGGGCCAAACTTCCCACACAGAACTCCCATAAACAATAGAAAAAACTGTGTTTTCTGATGGTTTTTGGTGACCCCTCTGACACCCCCCCCTCATGACCCCCCTGGGGTCCTAACCCCCAGGTTGAAAAATGCTCATCTAGAAATTTTAGTTAAAAAAAACCAACCCCCCAAAACTGTGTCAACTTGTTCACAGATCAGTGTGAATACTGTATCCAAACTCTTGTCAAAAAAAGAACCATCCTATTCTCTGAGCAGAGTAGTAAATCACAAGAGTGCAGTCAATCCTGGAAGAATCTAAAAGAAGCAGTGGCATTTTCCCCTCTCTGAAGAATGATCCTTGACTTATCCATAGACCATATCAAAATCCAGAATGTTGACCCTAAAAACGGCCTTAGACTTATATAAGAGGTCAACTAATACATGAGTATATATGACCTGCTAGGCTCACAGAGCCTGCTATTCCAGGACATCACAAACAACCTCCTTAGCCAATGATAAATGCAATAAAGATAATGTGTTGTTGAAGGCTTTCATATCCAGAATCAGTGGGTGCTGTGAGTTTTTCAGGCTATATGGCCATGTTCCAGAAGCCTTCTCTCCTGACCAGGCATGTAGCCCAGGGGGAGGGGGGGGCTTGGGGGGCTTCACCCCCCCCCCCGAAATTCTCATGGTCCGCGAGAAGGCCTTACTGGTACATTATTTAAACTGTTATGTTTATTCATATCATGATCTGATCACCATGCTCAATATATCCCATATGCATGGGGGTATTGGGGTAACAAAAGGTTTGCTAGGGTAGACCCTCTTTCACTCAGACTCAGCCCCCACCGAACCAAACTCAGCCCCCCCCCCCCCCGAAACAAAATCCTGGCTACGGGCCTGAACCACTCTAACAACTACCATGTCAGACTACACAGAGAAGTCATTGAAATCCACAAGCACGTGGAGAATTTCAACAGAAAGGAGGAACTAATGAAAATGAAAAAAATCTGGCCACCAGTATTTAAAAACTCTAAAATCAGGGCAGTAAATAAAGAGCAACACTCAAAAAGCAGGGGAATTCCAGACAAGATTCAGTCAGGGCCAGCTAAAACCTCCCAACAAAGGATTCCCCCAGGCAGCAACCAGCCAGGCTTTGAAGCTGCAAGGCCATTAAATGCTAATCAAGGTGGCCATGTACAACATTCACACTTGCCTCAAGCAGACAAGAGTTCTTTCTTCCACCCTGGACATTCCACAGATATATAAACCTCACTTGCCTAGTTTCCAACAGACCCCTCAACTTCTGAGGATGCCTGCCATAGATGTGGGCGAAATGTCAGGAGAGAATGCTTCTTGAACATGGCTATACAGCACGGAAAACTCACAGCAACCCAGCTGTATAGATAACTATTGGGAAAGGTAGTACCTGAAGAAGGAATTAATCAGGGCCGTAAACTTATCTTCAGTGCCTGGCATTAGCTTTGCAATAAAAAAGTGATTCATACTAAATATCCACCTTCATAGTATATTTCTGCCTCCACTGAGTGAACAAGACCAATCCTCAGATGTTTAGTTTTATGAGTAAATACTGCACTGCTGTGCCCTTTCAGAGAGAAACACTTTCTGTTTTCATCTCTTGTTAGGTGGCTCCTGATCATGTCCTTCCTGCTGCAGAAGAAATCTATGTATATAGTCCATTGGGAACGGCTTTCAAAGTAGACAGCTGTGCTGACGGCTCTGGCAAAAACTCCAGCCTTATAACAATGTACGTGAAAGAAATATCTTACATAGCTGACATTATTTTAGAATTTCTCTTTTGTAAATTCATGATACTGAATGTAACTTTTTTAAAAGCGCCTTCAATTAATAGTATTTCCATGTGTTGTTTCCCCCTCAGATTTATGATCTGGAATACCATGATGGGTACATCTATATTAAGTATTCCCTGGGGAATAAAGCAGGTATGGCAATTGTGTGTGTATGGGGAACAAAACATATTTGCATGATAAATCAGCACCAGAATTTGCTTAAATACTTGATTTTAAATTTTCATTTTTTTAAAAAAACAGGCAGGGTTTACCACTGGAATCATTATTATTCTGCTAATGGGCATATTGACGCTTTACTGCTGCTACAGAGTTGTGAAATCAAGGACAATGATACGTGAGTATGTGTTCCAGTTAAACATGGAGTTCTGCTATATGGAATTCTCTATTTGTATGTTTGTGTACACTTAAAAATGCAAAAGCATGTTCCAAAGCAAGGCTAGTCAAATTGCATGCACTCCGGTCTGCTTGATTTGGTGTTTTTGTGAACTAAAAAGAAAATCCAGCCAAAAAGGTTAGCTTCATGTTGAGTGGTATTTTTACATTAAAATATGGCACAGGTTTTGTCCCTCAAAGTACAAAACTGAAGAAGGCATCCCATTTTTAATTTTGGGAATATTATGCAAAATTACATTGGTTGCACTAAGCTGCCTGTCCCTGATTGTTGCATTCTTGTTGAAATCCATCAAATTAAGAAATTGTTTGAAAGGGCACTTGTATGAAAGTACACCTGGAACTTTACTAGTAGTCTGATCAGCTCAAAATCTACTATCGTTCAACACTTACTGTGTGTAATATATCCTTGTTCCAAAAGCAAACGGTGGACATTTTGCTATAAACATCATTGAGTAACGTCCAAAATAATGGAGGCATTAAGTAATATGTCAAGGCAGGCAATTTTGGTGGTTCTGTGAGCTAATTCTCAGAACCCAGTATAGACCACTGTTGAAGTGCTGCCACAATTTACCAGCAAGCTGCCCCACATAATATGAGTGCGTGCTAATAAAAAATGTTTAAAACATGTGGAAGTGCTTGTTTTAAAGGTTTTTGTGGGTCTTGCCACCCAGTTTTGGAAGTTACCGTATATCCTCGAGTATAAGAGTTTTTCAACCCTTTTTTTAGACTGAAAAGCCTCCCTCGGCTTATACTCAAGTCAAAGTTGTTTATTATTTTACTCTGTTATTATTATTTTTATTACATTTACTATTTAAACTATTTATTATTATTATTACATTTACATTATTTTATTTTATTACAGTTCTTATTTTACTTTATTATTATTATTATTATTACATTTATTATTTTACTCTTAATTTAATATTATATTTATTATTTTACACTATTAATGTTAATTATTACATTCCCATTATTTTACTCTATTATTTTTATTTATTATTTTACTCTTCTTATTGGTAGGATACGTAAGCACATTTACATTGAAGAGGGTTATTTTTTAAAATTTATTTACAATATTTATAGCCCGCCTTTCTCAGCCTTACTCAAGGCATGTTACAGGTTGGCACAATTTGATGCCATACATCCATAAAAGTGCAATTAAAAACCATCAACATAACAATATAAAAACATATATAAAACCATTAAAACATCTAATCATCAGTGTCATCTTGTTAAAAGTGTATCCAGCCATTCCATGTTCATCAGTTCATAGTTCCATGTTATCTATTCTGCTGCATTCTCAAAAGCTTGCTCAAAGAGTCAAGTTTTTACCCTTTTTCGAAAAGTCAGGAGGGAGGGGGATGATCTAATATAATTAGAATAATGTTTTAATCAGAGTTGGAGTCTTATCTTAAATTACAGTTTTATGTAAATATTAAAAAATTAAAACCTACTGATCCCTCAATTAATATAATTTTATTGGTATCTGGGTTTTTTTTTTGGAAATTTACTGGTAGCTGCTGCATTTCCCACCCTCAGGTTATACTCGAGTCAATCCGTTTTTCCAGTTTTTTTTGTGTGGTAAAATTAGGTGCCTTGGCTTATATTCAGGTTGGCTTATACTCGAGTATATATGTGTAGTTGCAATCACACATTTAAAACTAATGTTCTCTGCATTGAAAAATAAAATAGGGCTTTAGCCAATTTGGCACCAAATCTCTATACCGTGGTTTAGAATGGACTTGGAACAGCAAAAATGACGGTTGGCCTATATAGGTCTCAAAATTGTTACAAGCATTTATGCCCCAATGTCTGTCTTGTAGATCTAGTTCAGGGGGACTGCTGCAATAAAACATGATTTTGGAACATTAAAATATTGTGTCTAGGTGAGGGCTAGTTTTAAATCTTGCTGAAGGAAGTAGGACTAAATTATATAGAATTCAAATTTAAGCTCTACATAGACATCACCACTGTATTCATGGAAGTTACTTGAAGTATTTATTACTTTAATTTATGGAAATTCCGTAGTTATTCCTTTAATACCCCACAACTTTTACTCTGTTAATGATATATTTTATTAGTCTTTCTTTAATCTTAATGTTTAATGCTGATCTGACTTTAGAAGACCTAATGCTCACTGCAACTAGCAAAGGATTAGATGAATGAGCCTTGGTATTAACCTTTATCTTATTAATGTCCCTAAAACTTTTGTGTTTTCAGCCTCAATAGATACCTCAACTTGGGAATTCCCAGATGTTTGCAAGTATTATTTTGGATCTTTTGGACAATGGTCTAGTCTTTTATTTTCACTGGTGTCTCTTATTGGAGCCATGGTGGTTTACTGGGTGCTCATGTCCAATTTCCTTTTCAACACGGGAAAGTTTATTTATAGTAAGTGCATTTTTTCTTACCTCATCTCATGAATGCTTCTGTTAGAAATCATTTCACTGCTCATCTGTTATACTCTCCAGAGCAAAACTGCCTGCTGTTTACCCTAATGTATACTGTTCGCATGAGATGTATTTAGCTTGAGAGTTTCTACAGCTTCAGAGTTTAGTTTCAGTTCCTCTTTGAGGGAAAACCTTGGTTAACCCTAAGGTTTTGATAGCAGTTTGATAATAACTGATCCTTCCCTTGCTGATTTTGAAAGAAGCGAAATGCGGAATGTAAAGGAAGCAGTATTTTCTTGGCGTTAAACTGAAAACATTATTTAATTATGGATCTTTGGGCTATCAGTTCTCCATGCTCTGACAACTGGAATGGCTTTTGAAGACTAATTGAAAACTGCAGTTAATTCAGAATGCCGCTCATAGATTACTTACTAGGACTGGGTGAACTGATCCTATAACAATTTTTCAGCAACCTATTCCATTTCTAGTCCCAAATTAAGGCATTGAAAAATGTTAACCTTTAAAATACTTTAAGGTTTAGGATTAGCCAGTAGAGTTCTGCGCAGAATTCATTCCTATCTTTTCTACCATTTCTTTTGTGCCTTCCATTTCTTCGGGAGCACGAAATAGGAAGTCCTCTTCCTGCACAAAAATCAGCTCAAAATGAAAGCCTGCTTTCGTCTGCAGCCGAATTTGCTTCCTTGCCTTGGAAAGAGAGTGCGTGTGTGGTAGGGCATGCGGACAGGCCCGGTGCACGCCTGTAGCTGAGCACCTCTTACTCTAGAGTAAGATGTGCTCAACTGCAGGCACTGGCAGACCCTTGTGCTTTCCAGGCCTGCCTGCATGCCATGCTACACACCCACTCTCTTTCCAAGGCATGTGTGGTGTGCAGGCAGGCCTAGAAAGTGCAAGTGCTTGCCAGTGTCTACAGCTGAGCGCCTCTTATTCTAGAGTAGAAATACCAGGTGCCAGATAAGAACTGAAGTGCATGCCGGGAAGGGGAGCCAGTGAGTGGGCCCCCCCCCCCCCCCGGTCCAATTTTTGGACCCCAAACTGAAAACAAATATCTACCCTTCCGATTTTGGAAAACTCCCAAAAAACGGATTGGGGCCCCCAACAAAAGCTGGGACATGAAACGGGGCAAGGTTTACCCTGAAAGCACAACCCTAATAGGCAGTACCTGCCCAACATCAATGGAATGCCTCCTATAATTGCCTCCATCCTCTGAAGAGATGGAAAGAAAGTTGTCCTGTTAAGCCCTGCTGAGGAATGTAATACCCAGACATATTCATTGCCTATCCTTTGTCCACTCTGCACCAAGTAAAGCTTTTTCCGCATGCATTTTAAACTCTATTTATTATTTTATCTTGCTTTTACACTTTTGAATCTTTGGTTTGTTAACTTACCTCATTTGTTTTATTCCTTTTGTACTCTGTCTAGGATATATAACTGAAGGGTAGCAATGCACAAACGTATTATAAATAAACCGGTAACACATTTTCTGCTTAGTAGGAGGACTCCTATAAAACACACACTCAGCACTGAGAAGTCTGTTAATCAAATAATAATATAATTAATTATTAAAGTATTATTTCAGACACTTCTAAAGTAATGTTTACATTTCATCATGGTCATGGCATTTTGATAAACTATTAAATTGGTCTAAATAATCTGGTGCGAGGGTAGTTTTTGCCCTAATGCTGGAAATATTTACTTGGGAGAAATGCTCAACTGGGCTACAACAACTCCAAATAGGCACTATGAGCTTTAAATAAGTCTTAAGTGGCCCATGTTGCTCCCTTATTGCAATAATGAGAGAGTTTTTTTAGTTTGAGGTATTTCTCCAGCAGATGGCAATGCAGTGCACATTAAAGAACAGCATAATTCCTGTAATCAAATAAGCATTTGGTCTTCTCTTTAGACCAGTGGTTCACAACCTGTGGGGACCCACAAGTTGAGAACCACTGTTCTAGAGTGTTAATGAACTATGACAAACTCAGCCCTGTGTCTTGTGGATAAGCTGGACTTAGCTCCACGATAGGAGTGGGAGCCCAGCAAACTAAAGCATGGCAAGTTGGGAATAGGCAATGCTGAACATGTTCCAGATTTGGGCTGTTGTGTAGAACAAAACTTTAACATTATTCTTTCTATTGTTTCTTTGGAAGGAGAAGCACTCCCAAATTGACATGGCCATGTATCCAAAGTATAATAAATGCAAATTAAAAGACAGAGTGTTAAATGTTTATTATTTTAAGCTTACAAACCATTAAGGCTAGTTTGCTACTAGCTGATCTTTCCTTCCCTGGTTTTGGAAGACACAAATTTTTCAACATAGAGGAAGCAATAGCTGCTTGTAGTCACAACAGTTGCACTGTTAACTAAGACCAAACTAGCTCTGTTTAAATTATGGTTTAAAATGAAGTATTTTAAAACACAGTCTAACCTCATTTATCTATAGTCTGGCAACTTCCATGATAGGCTTCTTTAATGGGCCGTTCCTCAACTTCCTTTAAAGATTCGTGGAAAAATGCAGTTACTCCAGAATATGGTTTTTAGATAGCTAACTAGATAAACATAAATGAAGAAATATTGTGTATAATAAAGGCAGCATAAAACCTGACTTCAGGTAGCGGCTTCTGCATGTCACCCTCAACATATGTTGTTAGCCTTGGATCATGTATTGGGAGAAAAGTGGCCAATATACCTGACTTAAAAAGCAAAGAATTGTTTCAAAAGGTACTTTTGGAGAGGTTAGCTGCCAGGATCTGGTGTTCCTAATACATTTTTGTCATTTTTTTCAGATTATGTTCATGATATTAACATAACAGACATTGTTCCTGGAACAAATGGGAGCAATCGAGGTAAGCATTCTGGTTTTTCACCACCCAAATGTTCTCACACAGTACAATGTACTTGAGACCAGAAGTATTCTCAATTTTGGATTTATTTCAGATTTTGAAATATCTCTACAATATTTGCATATACATACATCATGAGGACCCAAGTCTAAAGGTGACATTCATTTTTGTTTTATATATGCAATATACACATAACCTCAAGGTAATTTACACAATACCTTTAATAATTTTATTCACGAAACGAAATTTGTATACACTGAGCCATCAGGAAACAAAAGGGGTCACAGTCTTAGTCACCTATCTGGACAAAACTGGGTTTTGGGATAATTCAAATTTGGGAATTCCAGGGTCAAAAGAAAAGGGACACAAAAATATGGTATACCTATTTAGCGAACTACCTCCTCCAGAGCTACATTAGTGAAAGGAAAAGTTACTGTAGGATGGGCCAAACCGGAAAGCCATGGGAGGCAAAATTGAAAGGCGTAATTCAGAATAAAGGGGAAAGATAAATATAAGGGATTAAATAACATTATCCTCATGATCGAACAATCAGTCAAACGGCAAAATTTGTAAAATGTTCAGAGGGAGGGAGGGAGAGGAGAAATGATATAAACATGTGTTATTAAGGGGAAAATGTTTTGAATGTTTGTATAATTTTGTGTAACACAATTCACAATAATTTTGAAAATAAAAGAAGCAAAAAAAAAAAAAAACCAACAAAAATTGGGAATTCCAGATAAGGCATGCTCAGACTATGCTGTTTTCTTCGGTAATTATAATATCGCTGAGTTGATGCTATGCCATTTTTAAGAATTTGATTTTTTTTAAGTTTATAAAGACATAACTCAATAAAAAGGATAAGGTATCTCTGTGACCAATTAAAGAAGCAGAAAAATCCAGATAAATTGTCAACAGAGAAATCATACTTCTAGCACTCAGCAACAGTAGCCTTTATTACAATGTCACATTTTGTCTGTGTGTGTGTGTGTCAGCCCAAATGTTATCCTAAAATTTGGAAATACAAAATATAATTTCCTAAATATATTAGATATTACAAAATCGCATGGTACTAAAAGCAGAATTTAGTAGTTGTTTCTGCACAGAAAGATGTGGCGAAAAGAAAAATTATCACTAAAGACATGGCCCAGTATTTAAGAATCATATTAAAAGCCATTCTGATTTTGACTAATGGCTTACTCTTACATATGTTAAATATTAACTTAATTAATGCCAGTTTGCATCAGATTTCATGGGGGGAATCAACTATTTGTCTGCAATCTTCCATTCTCTGCACAGAAGAATCCCGTGTACATTTCAGAAGTACTGTTTATTTTCTCTCAAACACTACTGGTATACAGACAATGGAGAACAAACAGACTGGCAAAAATAATCCTGATGACTCAGTCGCGTTCATTAGCTTTTCAGAAACATGACCACATGCTCCATGAAGCTCTGTGTTTAAGGGCATTGTGGATGGCCTGGAACAATGCCAGTATGGGATGAAAGAAAATTCAGAAGAAAGTTCCACAGAATTACATAGTTAGATCACAGACTGTGCATAAAACATGCTTGTTTATGGCTGACAGCTGCTTGCATCTGACCTCCAAACTGGTAACTTTGTACTATGGATGGTGAACTGTGGCTAACGCTGCTTTAGAAAAAAAAATACTGATTTGCAATATTTCTGTTTTGCCCACATCATAATATCACAGGGTTGCTTCCAATAAAATCCTTTAGTACGATGTCTAGTGTAAGACAGTGGCTCCCAAATTTTGGCTCCCCAGCTGTTTTGGACTTTAGCTCCCAGAATTTCGGGTTGGTGGCTGGGGCTTCATAATGTCTTCTGATCCAAGGAATAAACCAATCCCTCCCTCTGAAATATGGCCTACAGTAGGTAGGCTCTTTTCTCAGGCACTCCTCTCTCTCATCCTCCTATCCTTCTCTCTTTCTCTCCCTCCCTCCCTTCTCTCCTTCCTTCCCTTCCACCCTTTTGTCCTTCCTTCTTTCCTCCCTCTCTCTCTCTCTCTTTCCTGTCCCTCCCTTCCCTTTTGACTTTCCTTCCTTCCTTCTCCGTCCCTTCACTCCCTCCATTTCCATCCATCCATCCCTTCTCTTTTTCCTTCCTCCTTTGCTCCTAGGGCATGTTTAGCTGGGAGAAGAGACAGCTGAGAGGGAACATGAGACCCGTGTTTCAAGATATAAAAGGGTGTCCCATTGAGGAGGAGGGTGAAAACTGACTTTCTATTGCTCTAGAGACCAGGGCACAAGGGAGTAATGGGTTCAAATAACAAGGACGAAAAAGATTAGAAAGAACTTCCTAGAGAATGGGCTAGGCTGCCTGGAAGTGTGGTGGAGTCTCCTTCTCTGGAGGGTTTTCTGCAGAGTCCGTCTACCGGGAGTGCTTTGATTGCTTCTTCCTGCATGGCAGGGGGTTGGACTGGATGGCCCTTGAGGGTCTCTTCCAACTCTAGGATTCTATATCAGGAGTAGGCAATACAGAGTCTCATGGATTCACTTTTATTTATTTAATATTTATTTACAGTATTTATATTCCGCCCTTCTCACCCTGCAGGAGACTCAGGGCGGATTACAATGTATATACATGGCAAACGTTCAATGCCATAGACACACAAAATATATAGACAGACACTCAGAGGCTATTTAACATTCCAGYTTCTGGCCACCAGGAGAGCTGTCGCTTCACTGTCCGTTTGTGACACTGATGAAGTACTTTCCTCATTCTTTGCATACTTCCTGGAGATTTTTATGGTCTTGTAAATCAGTTAAATTAGCCTCCCCACGCAAGTGGTATCTAAATTTCCTACTTGATAGATGCAACTGTCTTTCGGGCTGCAAAGGTCAACAACAAGCTACACAATTTTTGGTCGGGAGCTCACTCCGACCCGGGCTGGCTTTGAGCGCAYGACCTTTCGGTCAGTAGTGATCTTAATGCAGCTGACTCCCAGCCACAGTCCTGGTGCTTTTTTTCTCCCATCCACCATCTCATCCTGACCAAGGCCAACCCTTTTGGAATCCAAACGTTCCCTGTCTTTCCTTGACTTTCTACCTCCGAAAGAGAAGAGAAAGGGGAGGAAAGGGTGTRTGTGTGTGAGGGGGGAGGGATTTGGGGAAAACCCCTTCCTCCTGGCCCGCCCACCCTGATCCAGCCATGCAGCCCCCAAGTTAGAAAGTTTGCCTATGTCTGGCCTACAGCACCTGGTCTTTGTTAGTGATCTCCCATCCAAGTACCAACCAGAGGTGACCCTGCTTTGTTTCCAAGATCAGGTGTGATCTGATGCCTTTAGGGTATTTAGGAGCTAGAGACAAAATTACTCCACGAATACAGATTTTATGATTTGATGAGAGCATGTGACTACTATAACCATGTGTGTATGTTCATTATGTGAATCCAACTCTGTTAGTAAATATGCGCTAGTACTGCCTTCTAATTAGGAACTGGCTTACTCATGGCAGACAAGTGGGCAGCCGCTTGTCTCCAGGCAATGAGATACAAAGCCTCCAAACAAGACGCTGAACACATCCATGTGGAGAGAGAGAATGTGCGACTAGATGCCTTCATAACAGTGACACACTTTTTTAAAAGGAGGCAGCTCTTTTGCTGCTGTCTTGCTTCTCTCTCTGTGAAAGGCAGGAAAAGAACAAGCATGCAGAACAAAACGTTCAACTATGTTTCCTAGATGATAATTGTTTTGTGTTGCTCTGTCTGTTGCCTTGGCAGGGGCAAGGAGAATACTCACACAGTGGGTGGTGATGTGGTGTGCATTGGAGGCAAGGATGGGGAGAAGTAGGGGAATGATTGTTGCCTTACAATACTTTTTTGTGTGAGTGATCTTCTTTGTAAATTGAAACTGTTCAGAAAACTCCCAAGACATTAAAAAACATGAAGCTAGAACCCACACCATTCCAACCCCTAAGTCATCCTCTTGCTTTAGCCACAGTCGAGCTCTTAGTAATCTCAATGTATGCCCTGATTTTGAACACACAGTCAGAAATATTAAAAATTAACTGGGTATTTTTTATTACAAAAGTGTGAGTCAAGCACTAAAAGAATTAGGGCAAAACCTATTAGAGTCAGTGGGCCAAAATTACTGTTATCCTGAGGAGAGTGAGTAGGCAAAGCCTCTTAGTGGGCCACAGCTACTGTCATCCTGAGGAGTGTGAGATAAACCTCTGTGTGAGAGAAGTCTCGTGTGAGAAAACTCCAATATGAAGGCTGCTGTATGTAAAGCTACTGTTTATTTATGTTATGGAAACCTAGTTCTTGTAAATAGTGCAACCATATGTTATGAACCCAAAAGGTTCCTGTTCTTTTGTGCAGAGTGTTCAAAGAATAGCAAGGCGGTTTAGACTAATGAGACACTTTAGAGAACAAATTTGATTTTAACAATATTCATGTAACATTTATTGAAATACAATCACCACAGAATCATCACCAATGGCGCAGTGGGTTAAACCCCTGTGCCGGCAGGACTGAAGACCAACAGGTCGCAGGTTCGAATCCGGGGAGAGGCGGATGAGCTCCCTCTATCATCTCCAGCTCCTCATGCGGGGACATGAGAGAAGCCTCCCACAAGGATGATAAAAACATCAAATCATCCGGGCGTCCCCTGGGCAACGTCCTTGCAGACGGCCAATTCTCTCACACCAGAAGCGACTTGCAGTTTCTCAGGTCGCTCCTGTCATGACCAAAAAAACCCAAAAAACCCACAGAATCATATGAAGATTATTTTACAAGAAAAGCCTCCTATGGAAGAGATAACATTGGTCTGTGTGTTATTTTTATCAATTTGGGCTACTGGTGCTGGGTCACGCTGCTGCTGATAAGTTACTCTGCTATACATTTATGAGGAGGGTCTTTTGTTAAGAAGCCAACTTGCCCAACGCACACATGCCTTATTTCTTGCTGGAACTAAATCCCCCTTTTTTGTTTCCTTTCCCCCCCATTTTTACAGTAATATGTCCAAATGATGCTGGCCAGGAAATTCCAGGAAACAGAACTTCTCTCCTTCTTTCTACTGGTGATGCAGGATTTGAGGAATTTGAAGAGTGGTGGAGCAAATCGAAAACAGTCCCATTTTACCTGATTATCATTCTTCTATTATTGAATTTTAAGTCTCCATCTTTCTTTGCCAAATTTAACATCTTAGGTATGAAACAGTGTTCCTGGAGACTATATGTGTAATGTGTTTTGAAAAGTATATAGCCCTTTTCTGAAATGTTTTTCCCTTGGAAATCTTGTCTTAACTTTTTCATTACTTTACAGATCCTTTTTAATATTTCAATTAAACTGGGGGAGGATGAGCAGAGGACAAATTAAGTATTGCATAAAAGGTTTCCACTAGATGATCTAATAACTTTCATGAAGTTTCAAAGCTTATCAATGTGGGAGTTGGGACATTTTGTCTAGGGCTTCTTGGAACTGTAGTAAAAAATGATTTTTTTTCAAGGTCTTCAGTTTTCTCTCTATGAAGTATCCTGTCAAATGATTGTTGTAGAAAAAACTGCAGAACAATCAAGATGGTGCTCACATAATTTTCTCAGCTGCTTTGTCCACCATCTTGGGTTTCTTCTCTCTCTCTCTTTTTTTGTTCCTGATCATTTATAATATAAAGCAGGAATGGAGAATGTTTGTGCCCTTCCAGATGTTGTTGGAATCCAGCTGCTCTCGTCTCTTCAGAGTTGACTATCAAATAACATCTGGAAGGCTCAATATTCCAACTCTGTGCTTGTCCCTTTATAAGCTACCCCGAGTCCATTCGGGGAGATGGAGTATAAAAATAAAGTTATGATTATTATTAACTCCTGGATAAACGGTAACTTCATAGCAAGAGCAGTTATTTCCATATTTGATATACATGTGGAAAAGAAAAAGCATTAAAAAGTAGAAGGAAGAAGAGGGAATGGAAAAACTGATAAATACTTACCTGGTTTGCTGTGAGTTTTCCAGGCTGTATGGCCATGTTCTGGAATCATTCTCTCCTGAGATTTCACTCACATCTATGGCAGATATCTTCAGAGGTTGAGGGGGTCCCTCAACTTCTGAGGATGCCTGCCATAGATGTGGGCAAAACATCAGGAGAGAATGTATCTGGAACATGGCAATACAGCCCAGAAAACTCACAGCAACCCAGCATTACAGGCAATGAAAGCCTTCGACAATACAATACTTATCTGCTTTCTCCAAGCTTGCAACAGCCACAGTATAGGTCACCTAGGAACCATAGAACAATTTCATTGTTCCTTATTATTTTATAAGTTTACTAGAGTAATGTTGCATTTTCCTTCTCTCTTTATTTTCAGGTACTGTTTCAGTCGTTTACCTCGTCATCCTTGTTACTGTAAAGGCGGCACACTTGGGATTTCATTTAGAATTTGACTGGTCTCAAACAAGTGAATATTTTGTGCCAGGTAAAACTTTATTTTATTAAGAGAGCAATCTTTCTAGAATGTTGTCTTTTTTGTTTTGTTATTTAATCAGACACTGGAACGGAATCTTAGTCTCTCCAGGATATTTTCCCTCCAAGGCAGGAGAAGTTGGAATTCCTCACATTTCCAACTTTTCTTTCTCTGGGAATCTTTCAGTTATCGTTTCATTCCCTAATGCCAATACTGGAAAAGGGGCATACTGGAGGCTGGAGGAGGAATGCTCTGGTTCTCTAATATACAAAACATTTCCAGCCCCTTGTTGCCTTGTCCTACAACTTAGAAAAAGTGTAGACATTACATTTTAATATCATCCCTCCATAATTGCTTGACTGAAGGAAAAGTATCTGTTTTGAAAGAGGAAAAAGAGGAAAGAATAGCAAGCACTGCATCTTCTCTCCTTCGATTCTGCCCACAGGAGCATGGAAAGACTTGGGAAATGCTTGGGGCATTTCAGCCTAGTCAAAGGATTGCTCTGTTAGCGAGAAGCTTTGAAAGTGTCCTTCTGTTCTTTTGTCCTTTCTCTTTCTGTTCTCAGGCTACTCATTCAGGGATTTTGTTTTCAAAGCAATATGTAGAATGTCACTGCAGTGTTGGCAACTATCAATGACAAGGGAGTCATTTCAGCCCTGAAACAGAACTCTTAAGCAGCTTGTGTAATCACTTTCATTAGAAGGAACCTTTTTTAAAAGATGCACATTCAGACATGAAGGATCTTTATGTTTAAGGCTAACCTGCTATGCAAATGTATTTTGAATTAGGATTATTCATGCTTCCAAATCTGGGTTTACTAATTTAGCCTAAAGGTGGATAAAAGGATAGTTATGGGATTAAATGGAAGTTACCTTTACTCCAAACTTTACACTGTAGACTTAATTGACCTACCAGGATCATGATGTCATGATGCCAGGGCTCTGCCAGTTCGCAGGCAGAGGTGAACCAAAACAAACATCCAGCTTGTATCAAACTGTTTCATTAAAGCAGCACTTACTGTCTGACTGTTTTCATTGTCCAATTATAAAACATAAAGATAGCACTCAGCTACAGAATATAAAACAAAACTGGTAGCAAACTCTGATGCCGGTTCAGGAGAACACTGTAGTCAAAAGGTTCAGTCCAGTAGTCAAACACTGAGAGTTCAATGATTAAAGTCCAAGGATCAAGAGTCTATACCGTAGTCAATAGCCAGTCCAGAGATACAAGATTCCAGGATTCCAAGAGTTCAGGATAACAAAAATCCACAAACCTTAGTCAATAGCCAGTCCAGAGATTCAAGGTTTCAGGGGAAAAACCAGCAGCATCCATAGCCAAATAGGATAAACACTTTTCTCCTGAAGATTAGACTCCAGGCTAGCTCCTTATATCCAGTTAATCCCAGTTGCATCCTATTTCTTGCATGTCTCCACCTTTAATTGCTTTTGCCTGTAAATTCTTACTTACAGATTACTCTGCCCTTTAGAACTGATGGGTTAGGACTGATGTTAAGCCCTTCCATCACCAACTGTTAGGCCTAACACCACCAACAACTGCAGAACATGATACATGACACATAACTGGTCTGGAGGGGACTATGTGCCCCTGAGCATGAACCAGTGAGAGTTGCCTGATGCTGGCAAGTAAGAAGGGCTGCTTTTCTAGTAACAGTGGTAGCAAACTGGATGGCAAGATGGTGGTAATGGGTTTGTGGGACCCTGGGTGAGACAACCTGTTGAGGATCCCTTTCTTTGTTGTTGAGCTTGTCTAATTTCATTGATAGTGCTGATTGATGGATCTGTTAGATCTCTTAATGTTCAGAGTGCTCTGTTGGGCACCAAGTATTCTGAAAACGCTGGCCATTCTAGGTCGGTGGCTTTGAACTTCAGAAAAGTAACTTTTCAGAATGCAGTCTAGATCAAACAGTTTGGAGTGCAGCATCAGGGGGGAAACATTAAAAGGCACTAGGAAAGGCAACAGCATAGGGTTCTGCGAATGGCGCAGGGCCATGGCAGCTCCACAAAGAGGTGAAACATTGACTGTAGAGAAGAGCTTCTAACTGCCCTGCGAGAAAAGAGGGGGAATCTTTGTTTGCTTGCATGTCCTGACCTTTGTCCTCTCATGCCACCCCATCCATGCACATGCTTCAGTTCTCTAGCTAAATTCAAATACTAAAGGAGATGGAAAGTAGGATATGAGGCATATGTCCCACAAGATATGCTCTGGGGTCCACCCAGTCTCTGTTTATTTGGACTGCTGGCCAAGACAGAAGCGGCTTCAGCAGTTCCCTGATGGCTATGGAGAAGGCTGCAGCTGTTGAGGGAAAGAAACATTATCCCACAAATACTTCATTGTAACTTTCATAATTGGAAAAATGCTTAACACTTTTTCCCGCGTGGTCAGGGAGAAAAGAAGAAAGCTTAACATTTATTAGAGAGGTTTTTTTTTTTCAACAGGGACTGTATTAATGCAGATAAATTTTGTCAAAGGAACCAGGTTGCATGTTATCTGTGTTGCTTAGTTCATGCGGCCATTTATCGTTATACTAACACATCAGTTTCCTCGTTGTGGTTTCAGTGATATGGAGGCAATGTTAAAATTCAAGAGTTCTATGTTACATACTTTGGGTCACCATCTTCACTAGGCTGTAAGCTTCCAAGAATTGTTGTAAGACAGTAGCTGTTTATTTTTTTTAATTCTCAGTTCAGACTAGTGAATGTTCATGACAGCCCATACAATCTCAGCCTTGCATATTAAAACTGTTGGCAAAACTTTACAGCACATTATTAGAGAACACAGAAATGCTGGAGCACTCCAACAATCACCATGTCAGACTACACATAGAAGCTATTGAAATCCACAAACATGTGGACAATTTCAACAGAAAGGAAGAAACCATGAAATTGAACAGGACAGTAAACAGGACAGTAAACAAAGAACAACACCCAGAAAATAGGGGAATTCCAGACACGAAACCATCAGAGCTAGATAATACCTACCAACAAAAGATTCCCCCAGGCAGGAAGCAACCAGGCTTTGAAGCTGCAAGGCCATTCAATAATAATCAAGGTGGCCATTTGCAACATTCACACTTGCATCGAACAGACAAGAGTTCTTTCTCCCACTCTGGACATTCCACAGATATACAAACCCCATAGTTTTTTATTCTTCTTTTGGAGATTTTATAGTCTCTTGATGAATTTCATAAACTTAAGGTTATTTTGATTAAACAGGGAAAAAAGCTTTGCTGTTTACTGTAACCTAAAGCACATGTCATTCTGAGGAATTTGTTAGGCGTTCACACCAAGATTCAAGACTTGTAGTTCATAAAACATTTCCTCTGCTCTCTTAACCACTATATTAGTGTAAATAACAGTGCTAAAAAGGTTTCCTTGTCAATTATTGATTTTATGGTAAACATTTTGCTTCCAAATGATGAAGCGGTGTGTTATTTTAACTTTGGTTGGGTAGCAGGGGATGTTGCAAACTTTGGGGTTATCCATTTGTTTTGAGAGCCTTAACTGACATGCATTCTTCTTTATTGCTCTTGGGAAAGATCCAAACAGAAAGGCTTTCTTGAAAATGGAGTGAACACTATAGCAAATTACTGGCCCAGGCCATAGTCTGCTGGCACCTTAGCCGTATCAGTATGTGCAGCAAGTATATTCTTATGTGACAGCGTGCCAATGTAATGTTTACACGGGCAATCATTTCACATGTTGCTGTCCATTACATCCATTCTCTGTGCTCCTTTGGCTTGACCTAACTCGCCAGGCGGAGCTGTTCCACAACAGGCCTCCACATGGCCTTCGTCAGAAACACTGCGCAAATTTTTACTGTTTACTGGCACACTTAATCTGCCAATGTTTATAGTCTGCACGGTTATCCAAACAGAGCAGAGGAAAAAGAGGGTGGTAGAGAATTAGGCGGCTTTGATGAATTGTTTGTGAATTTGAACAGATGTCGTCCAACGGCATCTGGGTGAATCCAGATTTTAACTTTAATCAGACCAGACCCAAATGCTAAAAGTTCAGCTATGGGCTATGGGTAGGCAATGTATTTGCCATCTTTAGGTAAGTAGTAACACCGTCGGTGGCAGTCACAGAGTTACAAACATCCGACTTACAAACGACTGCTAATTAAGAAGGGGGTGAGACAACAGCAAGTGAGAGAAATCTATCTCAAGGAAGGGAAATCTATACCTGAAAGAGTAATCATGGGAAAAGGTGTCTCCACTGAAGCTTTATCATCAGTACTTGTTTCAATTTCTACAACAACCCAAAAATTTCAAAATCAATTTATCAAAGGTATAGAAAGTGAAGTGAAACCTTCTGAACATGGGCCCAGACAGCAAAACAAATGTCACAAGAGTGAATTGTCAATAGTCTTGCTGGAAGGGGAGTAATTGATAACTTTTGGGCTTTCATTGGACTGTTTTCATTGGACAGTTTTATTGGACTGTTTTTCTCACAGTCCTTTATTACTAAATATGCTGGCCAAAACTGATGGGAATTACAATCCAGAAACATGTTCACAGGTACATGTGTCCGGTTTGTGTTTTAGTTCAGTTACTGTAACTTCCTAGAATTTTAAAATGCGATCAGGTAGAAGTTGTACCACAGTAGTGGAGACAACCTTGAAAAAGGTATTGTGTAAATTCAGATGTATTGAAGGACTCAGGTGAGCACACATGTCTTGATCAGTACACCATAATAATAATAATAATAATTATCATCATCATCATCAGATGACCCAAAATGTGCAAGGAAGCTGATGAAACCATTGATCATATCCTCAGCTGTTGCAAGAAAATCGCACAGACGGACTACAAACAAAGACACAACTCTGTGGCCCAGATGATTTACTGGAATTTATGTCACAAGTACTACCTGCCAGCAGTAAAGAATTGGTGGGATCATAAACCCGCAAAGGTCGTGGAAAATGAACATGCAAAAATACTGAGGGACTTTCGAATCCAGACTGACAAAGTTTTGGAACACAATACACCAGACATCACAATTGTGGAAAAGAAAAAAGTCTGGATTATTGATGTCTCTATTCCAGGTGACAGTCGCATTGAGGAAAAACAACAGGAAAAACTCAGCCGCTATTAAGACCTCAAAATCGAACTGCAAAGACTCTGACATAAACCAGTACAGGTGGTCCCAGTGGTCATTGGCGCACTGGGTGCCATGCCAAAAGATCTCAGCCAGAATTTGGAAACAATAAACATTGACAAAATCATGATCTGTTAACTGCAAAAGGCCACCTTACTTGGATCTTGATACGATGGTGAGAGAGAGGAGGCCCTGAGAAAAGAGCTTGTTTGCTGTGACATACTGTTTGCTGTGACATACTGTGTTTTTGTGTAAATAATAATAATAATAATAATAATAATAATAATAATAATAATAATATATTTATAGACCGCCCTCTCACTCCCTGAAGGGACTCAGGGTGGTTTACACACAAAAAGGTAAACATTCAATGCCTCAAAATAAGTACAACTCCATCAAAAATAAATACAGAATAGTGTATTATAACACTATAAACTTATAGTGTAAATTTATAATAAAAGAATTAAGCACTGAACTGAAAAACAAAGTCTAAGCCATCCATTAGGACATAATAAAGATTAGGACATATACCCTAAACAGCAATTAAAATTGATTACATTAAAATGGCTAACATAGGTGTTCATTTAGAATATATCGTAGCAGCCATATAGTACAAATGAATTAAAGTGTCCAAGTCGTTCTTTCCATATGCTAAAGGGGATAAGTGTGTTTTCAAAAGTTTCTTAATGGAGAGGAAGGTGGGGGTTGTTTCTTTAGGCAGGGAGTTCCAGAGACAGGGAGCGATGACAGAGAAGGCCCCCTCTCTCGTTCCCACCAGCCATAGTTGATACGAGTGTGGGACTGAGAGCAGGGCCTCCTCCGCAGACTGCAGTGCATGAGATGGCCTATATGGGAAGATGCGATTGGACAAATAGCCAGGACTCAAACCGTTTAGGTGTTTTTAGGTAACAACCTGCACCTTGTATTTGGAAATACTCGGAAAATCAACTTTTGGAGGATTTTAAGACTTGCCATTCTATTCACTTGAAAACAAATTCTGTTAAACTCAGTGAGCCTTGCTTCTGAGTCAATTTGTATACATTTGCATTCTAAGGCCATTAGAAGGTTTGCATCTTTCATCCATCATTTTTTCTCCTTTTTTAACCAGTTGATGCTAACTGAGAGGCCCTTCATGTGGCCAAGTCATTCATATTACTCATAGTCATATTAGACAACTTGTGGTAGGCATGTCCTACGTACCAGTGCAAATTGCATTATTTTGGGAAGATACTTCCCTTTAATAAAAACATGCATATTTAAAAACCTTCTGTGATTCATTAATCTTGCTTTACACCAGGTATGGGCAAACTCAGGCCCTGGGGCCAGATGTGGCCCCTTGGGCTCTTTTCTCAGGGCCTCCTCTCTCTCACCATCCTATCCTTCTTTTCTTCTGTCTTTCCTTCCTCCTTCCTTCACTCTTTCTTCTTCCCTTCCAGCCCTTTGTCCTTCCTTCTTCTCTTTCCGTCCTCCTTCCCTCCCTCCCTTCTTTACCTTCCTCATTCTCCCATCCTCCTTCCTTCACTTCCTCCTTTTCATCCTTCCTTCCCTCTCTGCTTCTTTCTCCTTCCTTTCCTTTCCTTTCCTTTCCTTTCCTTTCCTTTCCTTTCCTTTCCTTTCCTTTCCTTTCCTTTCCTTTCCTTTCCTTTTGTCTTTCTTTCCTTTGGCTTTCCTCTCTCCCCTCCTTCTTTCTCCCTTCCTCCCTTCCTCCCTTCCTTCTTTCCTTCCTTCCTTCCCTTTTGTCTTTCCTTCCTTTGGTCCGCCTTCCCTCCTCCTTTCTCCTTCCATCATTTTGTCCTTCCTTCCTTCTTTCCTCCCCCCTCTCTCTTTTTCTCCTTCCTTCCTTCCCCTTTGTCTTCCTTCTCCTTCCCTCCCTCCCTCCCTCTTGTCTTCTTCTCCTTCCCTCTTTCCTCCCTCCTTCCCCCTCTCCCTTTCTCCCTTTCTCCTTCACTTCCTTTCATCCTTTGTTCCTTCTCTCTTCCYTTCCTTCCCTTCCTTCCTTCCATCACTGGGAAGCCAGTCCTCCTATCAGGAGTGCTAGCATGCATCCCCCATTTAGAAAGTTTGCCCATGCCTGCTTTACACAGTGTAAAAAAAATAATCTAATTTTTGATCATAAATACATTTTTGGAACAAAGTTCTAGATGAGTAGATGATATTTAATCCCAAATAAAAGGTGAGGAAGTAGATGAGATTTCCATCCAAGTAAAATACATTCAGTATCAACACATTGTCTTTGCATCCCAGTTTCTAAACTTTGAATCCAGAATTGGTGCAGTTTTGCAGAGAATTAAACAGTGCAGAACATAGTCTGTAATTGGTGGTTATAAAGCCATTGCAGATAATTCTTAGTTAGTACAGATCATTAAAGCGTACACGGACTAAACGAGACCCATTTTTCCATTGTCTGTTTGTTAGTAATCAAGAAGGAAAAAGAAAACCTCCAAAGTCAGTTACAAATACAACGTCCTAGAAACAGACATGTATTTTATTTTCTAAGACAACATCTTGAAGACATTTGCATTGATGTTGTTGACACTAATTTAGAAACTGGTATATTAATGTGAGCCCTTTTTGTGCAACTTCTATATAATGAGTTCTTTAACCTTTGATTACATTGACATAGTAGTAATACATTTGTTCTAATTTTTTAAAAAGTTAAAATGGCCCAGAGATCCCTAATGAAACTTCCAAATAACATATGAAAATAATATGAGCAGTTAATGTTGAATGGGAGGACAATTATTTAATCTTGTTGAAATTTAAGAATTTAAATAATAAGTCTTAAAATCAAAGTAACCAATTTGAAATAACACAGTGGTCTGAATCCCATTGACTAGCTCCAACTTGAGCAGACCTGTTGACTGGGAAGACAACATGTTGGGAGATCCCATTGATACAACTGGGACTGCTTTAGTTGAGATTGCCAATATGATTTTTTCCCATTATTTCCACATTCTAATTAAAGCTAGCCATCTAGTAATGAGCTCCAGGACAATGTTTCATTGTATTTGAGTAAAGACAGCAACATAGCCACAGCTCCAGAACAATTATCTTCTGCCAACAACATCAAAGGTCAACATAGGCTAATCCTATTAGAAAGCATTTTTTCCAATTTCCTTGTAATTTCCCAAAATTTATCATATCCCATCCTGAAGCTTTTAGTTCCCTCAGATCAATTAAATTAGTGGTTCCCAACCTGTGGTCTGTGGGCCACCAGTGGTCAGCAAGAACTAAAATATCATCCACGGCCTCACTGTTACTACACAGTTGCAAGAAGAGCTACTGGTCTCACAAACCCTCTAATAGTGCCAAGGCAACTGAGATGTTGGGAGGGGAGAGACTGACTACCCATGAAACGCGCACACCAACAAGCCACCTGACTACTGCTTCTCGTGTCCCCGTCCCCCCGCCCCTGAGTGCAGCCATTCCCTGTTACGCTTGGAAGCGGGGGGTGCCTTGGTTTCATTTTTGGCCTATTCCTGGGGTTGTTTGGGGTGCTGGTTCAGAAAACTGCATTGGATAGACCACATCAGCCCTAGATTATTAAACATGGTTTTCTGTGGGTGAGCAGATGGTCTCTCTGTACCTGAAGCTATCCAATGCAATTTTCTGGATAAGCACCCCAAATAACCAAACCGAATCTAAAGTTGACCAAAAAATGATTCGTAATTCTTTTGGTACTAATGTTGGAGAGTGGTCCCTGGTCAGAGTTGTCCCTGGTCAAAGTAGTCCCTGGTCAAAAAAAGGTTGGGAACCGCTGAATTAAATAGAGATGTCAAAAGTGAGGCTTTTGTGGGACACCGAACAAAAATCAGGATAGGTAAGGATGTTATGTTGCCAGGTTTATACATTTTTATTTTATTAACCTTGCCCTATGTATTGGAAGAATAATATCTTAGATGTAAAACAATTGCATTAATACAAATTTTTACAAAACCTATCTCACTTTTCTATATTTTAAAATTTTTATCTGAATTAGCACTCAATAACTTTCTACAGCCTATTGATGTGCAAAAATGTTTTTGATATGTTTCTAGCTAAGATTTCTGTTCTTCAACTTTGTTCAGTTCATCAAGATGATGAAGCTTCTTCAGTCTGAACTCTCTGTATGTATGTAGGCACCTTCAAGTCATCTATTGACTTCATGTGACCCCATGAATTTCATAGGATTTTTTTTTAGTAAGGAATACCCATAGACGGTTTGTTATTGCCTTCCTCTGAAATAGTGCTGCCTCTATAGAATCAACACAGAATGCAATATGCATGGATTACTACTGGTATGTATTATAGTGGCGATGGAAGCTACTTTAATAATAATGCTTCTGCTTTTGTTTCTCCAGAATTCAGACTTCGATTTCCTCAGCTTACAGGGGTGCTGACCCTGGCCTTCTTTATTCATAATTGTATCATTACATTGCTAAAGAATAACAAGAACCAGGAGAACAATGTAAGTATCAGCATGAGAAAGTATTATGTGCAGATATGAACCTCTCATATTTAAGCTGCCTTTTGAAACTAATGGTGACACAAACAAATATAAAAAGATTGATGTTCTTCCTTCTTTCCCCAAGATTGTATCTCTAAACTGTGGCTCTTCAGATGTTTTGGACTTCAGCTGCTGGAGTTGGAATCCAAAATACCTGGAGGGCCGAATTTTGCCCATGCCTCCTCACCCCCTTCCTGGCTGCACTGCTTGTGTATATGCTATTTATTATCACTGGGGCAACTGTGTTAGTTGATGATATACTCCTTTTCCTATCGAGTTGATGATGTACTCCTTTTCCTATCTACCCCACCCATCCCATGCCAGCTAATGGTGTGAGTTAACAGAAAGTAATTCATCAGCCTTTGGAAGGCCATGAATTCTCTAGCCCTGCTATTCCTGTTGGCCTTGTGAATCAGTAGAAAGTCATTAGCAAAAACAAATTATGCATACTGCAGGTGTATCCTGTGAGGATCGCGTACTTAGTAACTTTCTACATCCTACTAATTTGATTACAGATGTTTAATGTCAGTGTAATGGCTGTGGGAACTTTCCTAGGGAAAGGGAGCAGGGCAACCATAAACTGTGTTTAAAATACACGATATTACAAAATTTGAAGAAAAATCTCTGTCTGGTTAGAAAGTGTTATTTCCAACAATTGTGCGGTATTTACTTTGAAAATAGTTGTTATACGCCAGAAACTTCGTTTTTATGACTGCCACAAACTATATTGAATTGGTTAAGACTTTTTGTGATATTCATTGAAAAACTCTAGCAAAATGTCCTGCAAAATGTCCCGCAAAAATAATTTTTTTTGCAGTTTAATGCATTTTTGCATGTTTTTATGATAGAACCAATTAGGAAATGACATTTATAACCCAGGAACAAAAATTGTGTTACACAATGATATCAGTGCTATAAAATTTATGGACTTCAAATATAAATGGACACATGTCTTCTTAGGTTATTATACTTGTACCACTACCCCTAAACAAAACATATAATAAACTACGACAATGCCTTTTTATAGGAGGCCATTACAATATAACAGATGGCATATTCAGGGAGTACTTATTTCTGCATATAATCTAATTTGCTTACCTTTCCCTGATAACTCATCTCCAGTTTTTGGGCTTGTATTGTACAGATCTTCTCATATTGTAATAGGAAGCTGGAATCATATGTAAATAAAAGTTGGCACTTTTTTGCTGTCATCTTATTTATTAGGTGAAACGTTAGATCTGAGGGTCTAATGATATCCTAGAAGAGTTATAGGAATCTAGAAGAAAGTCCATAGTAATAGATATCTCCATGTTGTGTTTGGCCTGAAATATTTGGCTCATTGTATGACTGTAGACAGGAGCCCCTGGTGGCAAGGAGCCCCCAGTAATGCAGCAGGTTAAACTGCTGAACTGCTGAACTTGCTGACCGAAAGGTCGGTGGTTCAAATCTGGGGAGCAGGGTGATCTCCCACTGTTAGGCCCAACCTAGCAGTTCGAGTAGATCAATAGGTACTGCTCTGGTGGGAAGGTAATGGTGCCCCATGCAGTCATGCTGTCCACATGATCTTGGAGCCGTCTACGGACAACACCGGCTCTTCAGCTTAGAAATGGAGATGAGCACCACCCCTTGAGTCGATCACGACTAGACTTAATGTCAAGGGGAAACCTTTACCTTTATTTATGACTATAGATAAGTCACTCCCCCATTGCCAATCCTGATTGGTTATACTGCTTGATCTTGACATAATGCTTAAGACCTCTTACCTTGGAAGTCCTGGATCCAAATGTAATTTCAGTTATGGGTGTGCTAAGTGTTACCCTGATGCAGGGTTACATTTCTTAATCTAATTGTCCATTTTGCTCACTATGGCAGAACCAATAGTACTGTAAGTTCATGAAAATAACTGACAACATACTTGGAGTATATGGGAGAAGAATTATTGAGCAATAATAAGGCTTGAGAGCCAGCATTGTCTGGGGTTTGAGTGTTGAACTATAACTCAGGAGACCAAGGTTTGAATCCTTGTTCTGCCATGGAAACCCACTGGGTGACATTGGACAAGTTGTGCTCCCCCAACCTCAGAGGGAAGCCAAGGTATCACTATTCTGAACAAATTCTGCCAAGAAAACAACACGGCACACAACACAATCAGGGTGGACTCCTTGTACTAACTGGTTGGAATGTGCTTGGATTGTGCTATTTAAATAGTGTCCTATTTTAAATAGTGCTTGCTTCAGTTATACCTTAACTTCAATGAAACCATATTAAGCAATTGAGGTAATTAACCCATGTCTGGACTATACCAAGTCACAATGCAATTGAGGATTCACATGCTATGTATGCATTTAAAATGCTGGATAGAAAATTAAAATGCCAGATAGAAGGCTAGGTCAAAACCCTCCCGGACATGTAACATTCAGTACGCAAGCACTTTAATTTTATTTCTATTAGAGAGTATTTAAATAATAATAATAACGACATCAATAATAACAATTATCACAGCAATCTTCATCATCATCTTAAAATACAGAATCAATGACACATAACATAGTTAAAATACACATGCCAATTGAAAATACATAACTAGATAAAAGTAAGCTTAAGTTTTAAAATTAATTAATTTATTTATTTACAGTATATATATTCCACCCTTCTCACCCCGAAGGGGACTCAGGTGGATCACAAAACATACATATGCGGCAAACATTCAATGTCATTTTATACATAACTACATGGACAATTATACATACATAAAAGGTGTGTGTATGTATCGGTTTTCCCTTCTGTGTTGTGGAAGGCTTTCATGGCTGGAATCACTGGGTTGCTGTGAGTTTTCTGGGCTGTATGGCCATGTTCTGTAACCTATGGATGTGAGAGCTGGACCATAAGAAAGGCTGAGCTAAGGAAGATAGACACTTTTGAACTGTGGTGCTGGAGGAAAATTCTGAGAGTGCCTTGGACCGTGAGAAGATGAAACCAGTCCATACTCTGGTTGCTCACTGGAGGGAAGGATATTAGAGGCAAAGATGAAGTACTTTGGCCACATAATGAGAAGACAGGAAATCTTGGAGAAGATAATGATGTTGGGGAAAATTGAAGAAAAAAGGAAGAGGGGTCGATCAAGGAAGCGACTGAACAAATAAACAACAACAAACAAATCTCTGGCAGACCGTGCAAAAAGAATCTGCAAACCCCACCTCCTCCAAGATGAACTGAACCACCTAAACTGGGCTCTACAGGCCAATAGATACTCCACCTCAGACATCTGAAGAGCTGCAAGACCAAGAACAAGCCACGAGAATAAAGACAAAGATCCAACAACTGCTACGTTCAGCAAAGGACAAGAGGGATCCTCTCACTTCTGCAGGAGTCTACCGTATACCACGCAGCTGTGGACAAGTCTACATAGGGACCACCAAATGCAACGCCCAAACATGAATCAAGGAACATGAAAGGCACTGCAGACTACTTCAACCAGAGAAGTCAGCCATAACAGAGCACCTGATGAACCAACCTGGACACAGCATATTATTTGAGAACACTGAAATGCTGGACCACTCTAACAACCACCATATCAGACTACCCAGAGAAGCCACTGAAATCCATAAGCATGTGGACAATTTCAACAGAAAGGAGGAAAACATGAAAATGAACAAAATCTGGGTACCAGTATCAAAAAACTCTAAAATTACAACAGCAAAACAGCAGAGGGGAAACAATCTGGGACATCTAATCACCTCTCAACAAAAGATTGCTCCAGGCACTAACCAAACAACAGCCAGGCCATCAAATGCGAATCAAGGTGGTCAGTTGAAACATTCACACCTAGCTCCAGCAGACAAGATTCCTTTGTCCCACCCTGCTCATTCCACAGATATATAAACCCTTTTTCCTAGTTCCAACAGACCTCACTACCTCTGAAGATGCTCGCCATAGATGAAGGCGAAATGTCAGGAGAGAATGCCTCTAGAACATGGCCATATAGCCCGAAAAAACCTACAACAACCCAATATGGCCATGTTCCAGAAGCAGATGTTTTGCCCACTTCTATGGCAGGCATCCTCAGAGGTTGTGAGGATGCCTGCCATAGATGTGGTTGAAATGTCTGCTTCTGGAACATGGCCATACAGCCTGAAAAACTCACAGCAACCTAGCTTTCCCATCTTTCAACCTCTTTGGAAGGTGTGCTCAGTTCAAGCCGGGGGGGGGGGGGGTTGCTGTCACTTCATCTCCCTGCCAAAGAGCTTGTTTGTAACTTCCTCTGTTTTTGGATCAAAAAGCATATATATTTCAAAAACACACAGTCTACAATTTTAAAACCACCTGGATTGATCTACTGGAAGAACTGGTCTGTGCTTCCATCTGAAGTGGCAGAGTCTGGTCTCACGTCTTTACTGCCTCATCTGTAGTCTGCAAGAAATGGGCTTTCAGTTAAGTCCTCTGGTTTTCCCAATAACTTGGCTACACCATATACAAGAGACAAATAAAATATTGACTAGGGTATATATTGATGCCAGGCACCATGGCTTAATAATATGGAGGGCTGATTTAGCCAACAGCCTTTCTTTCTGAATTTTCTGCTTGTGAAATATACATCAAAAAGTCTAATCAGTGTATATGACAAGTAAAAACCAACCCACGGGAACATGTTTGGAGTTTGGTAAATTATGTCATCCAACTTGGGCTGTAATGTCATCCTCTTCCAAAGTTTGAAATGCATATGAGGAGATTTTACAACAAAGAAGGATTTTGTTCTCTGCCAACTTTGATGACTTCATAAAGCCCCTTGAGGACTGGAACTGGAAAAAGGATTGAGCGGAGCAACAAAAGTCATCAGGGAGATGGAATGCCTTCCCTACATGGCAAGACTAAAGACAACTGGGGTTCTCAAGCTCAGAAAATTTGCGACTGAAAAGGGATATGATGGAAGCGTATGAAATCATGAATGGCTTAGAATGAGTAAATAGGGAATACAAAACTATAGCTTTGTTTCATACTGGAGTTAACAAGATTAGAACAAAGGGTGAAACTGCGGCATCAATAGATTAGGGAACTTATCTCAACAGCAGAATTTATCATTCTTCCTTCTTATTACATTTTTCATCATTCATCAGCCAAACATCCATTGGTCATGCAAGCTGGGTGATAATAGGAGGCGTGATCTAAAAATATAACACTTCCAAGCTCTGCTATAGAGGTTGTAAAGATGGCTAGTGCTGCCCTGAATTAATTAAACAAGTTTGCTGTCTCAATTTGTAAGGAAAACCTAGAGTCCGGACTAGTTTCTTCAGTTGCGGTACTTGTCACGAAGCAACACTCCCCTCGGTTTAGCAACATATTTAATGTGTCATCCTCTCCTTTGATCATTCGTTCCATTTCTCATCTTACCTCGAGATTATGCCTCTTTCCCCTAAGGAGGCTCACATATGTGTAAGGCATTAAGAGAGAGTGTTTGGTAGCTTCCACAAGGATCATGTGGGAATCCGGAGTTTAAGCCTATTTGCCTTAATTCTGCCGTCCATCCCACCACCTCAGTTTTCTAGATTCCATCTCTATGTAATGCTTACACAATGTCTTGGACCCTGGCCATCATTTTATGATGTGTTTGTGCAGTTCTTTACATGGTGGGCTGCTGATCTGTGTCTGGCGTTCTAGACAGTGACACAATGCATTTTAATAACTACAGTCAAGGTCTGGTCAGTCAGCAAATTTGATTTCTGCTTCCCATATCTTGTTTTTCTTGTCCTAATTAAACAGTTGCTGGATGCCTGTGGCAAAACAACAGCCTCCAGAGAAAGCCCTTGTTTTCTCCCCATACTAACCATGTCTTCCTTACCTCTGCTTCCTCTATTTGTTCCACTGCTGGAGCCCAGCGCAGGTTTTTGTAAGTGGGAAAGACAATGCCATATGGGAGACTAGCAGTTTGTAATAGGGAAAATTGCCTGGGAGAGGAAGTGAAATGAGTAGAGCAAGAGGTTGGCTATACCATCTTTGACAACAAATCTGAACCACTGCCATGTCTTCTCTCTAAGTGGGAAGTGTAATATCACTGTGCTGTCAAATAATTAAGAAATACCTAGCCAAAAGCCTGGTTCCAAAACCACGATCCTCACAACCTCTGAGGATGCCTGCTATAGATGCAGGCAAAACGTCAGGACAGAATGCTTCTAGAACATGGCCATATAGCCTGAAAAACCTAGAATAACCCAGTAAAAATAACATATTCTAGTAGAATGGTGCCATTCATATCAAACATTTCCATTTATATGGGAATGCATTATTACTCCTTCCTATGGAAATAAGTGGTTTAAAACAGCATCCTTGTCTCAAGAGTCCAATGAGTTTAGATGCAGAACTGTTACATCCCATGGAAAGCAATGATTTAAAAAAGCATCTTTGTCTAAAGGGTTTAGATGCAGAACTATTGCATCCCATGAATATCATAAGCCCAAGGTTCAAGCAGACTGTGATACAGTATGGTCTTATAGTTCACTATTCATACATTACTCTTTTCTTATTATTGTTTTTGTTCTTGTTTTTAACTACAGGTCAGAGATCTCTCCATTGCCTATTTCCTGGTGGGCATAACATATCTGTATGTTGGGGTGCTCATCTTTGCTGCTTTCCCATCTCCACCATTGAGCAAAGAGTGCATAGAACAGGTACAGGAAAAAATGGCCCACTAAACAGGCTTTAACGAGCTTAGAATGTATGCTGCTGCATTCTGTTTTTCTTACATCTACATTTCTTATTGACAGCCATCTCCTGGATATATGGCAGTGCTCATGCTTGCTTTCCTGTCTTGGCACCAAGCCAGGATTGTGCACAGCGCCACACATAAATAATATTGATTTTATCTAGACAAGGGTATGTTGGCAGCAGTTAGGTAATAGCTGCAAGTTGGCACCAATAGACATTGCTATCTAATCTGCATAACGTCTTCATTGAATTTGGTGGGGGAATTGTTGGTGTGGAAACTATCTGAATTTCCCAAAAGAATGGGCTACTTTCCATGATTGTATGTTGGCTTAAGGAGTCAATATATGACTGAGGCTTTTGCCCAGATGCAGAGTCAGTTTGTACAAGTTGCAAGAAAAGAAGGGAGTCTCTAATGGACCACAGTTTATCATTGCATCCAGACCAATGTATTAGGATTTTGGGTTTCCGAATAAATAAATAATTTATTTATTTCTGAACCGCTTTTCATCTCTCACCGTTAGGAAGTTCTTCCTCATGTTCAGGTGGAATCTCCTTTCCTGTAGTTTGAACCCATTGGTCTGTGTCCTACTCTCTGGGGAAGCTTGCTCCATCTTCCCTTTGGCTTCTCCTCACGTATTTAGACATGATCATCATGTCTCCTCTCAGCCTTCTCTTCTGCAAGCTAAACATATGATGCCATCTAGATTGTTGAGTGAAAATAGAGCACATTTTATCTGTAATAAACTGAGTTTCATCTGTTTCCAGCATAAAGCTGGAAAAATAGCAGGATGCATCAGTGGAGAACTGTTGCAGATCGCAGTACGATTTATTTATTTATTTATTTACAGTATTTATATTCCCACAGGGGACTCAGGGTGAATTACAATGTACACATATATGGCAAACATTCAATGCCAAATACAGACAACAGATATAGACAAACAGTCAGAGGCTATTTAACTTTTTCTGGCCACCACGGGAGCTGTCGCTTTTAGCGTCCATCTGCAACACTGATGAAGTACTTCCGCATTCCCCACATGCTTTTTGCTGGAGTGCTTTGCTGGAGTTTTTTTTTACAGCCTCGTAATTTTTTGTTAAATTAGCCTCCCCACACATAGGTGGTACCTAATTTTCCTACTTGACAGATGGAACTGTCTTTTGGGTTGCAAAGGTCGGCAACAAGCTATACAATTGGTCAGAAGCTCACTCCATCCCGGACTGGCTTCGAACTCATAACCTTGTGGTCAGAAGTGATCTTAACGCAGCTGACACTCAGACAGCTGCGCCACAGTCCCAGTGCTATTTATGGCAACCAGGAACCAGGAGAGTCCCCTTGTTCTGATTTGATTGCGAGATTTGCCTCTTGCTACCAGCAGAGAATAAAGGGACTGAAGTCTCCCATTTTTATTTGCATGATATTAATAAAATGTGCTCAATTAAACAGGGATGGATTCAAATTCCACGAGTTGTTAAGTAGCAGAGGAGTCTGCTTTACTATGAACTAGTAACATACTGATGGCATAAACTGTCACACTTCTGTTTTGTCTTTATTTTTTCATTATTTGTTTATTTAATTTATATTCCATCTTTCTCCGAGTAGAAACGAAGGCAGTTTATAATGTCATCATCAAAATAGTTTATTGTACAGGCCCCAAGGCCGTGACAAAAAGTACCACATGCACACAATAGTACAGCTCCTACATTTGTTCTGTTTAGGGACACAGGTTCCCTTTGAAAGTGAGAAACCATAAATGAAGAAATTGCTATTTTTAAATCAGAGATAACACCTCTCTAGAAGTTTTAGGTCTTCCTTCATAACTCCAGGGTGAATTTCTACTGGAAAACGAACATAGAATTACACAAATATGGGGGCCATACTGTAATGCTTCCAGAAAGATTCCGTGTTCGTTTTAATTGAAAATGCAGCCTCCCGAACGTCTGTAGGCAATTGGGCCTTATTTCAGTCCTGTTTGACCATAGCTGTGTCTAATTCCATGAAGAACTGTCTCTCGTATTGAAAAACAAAATATTATCTGGTTGAAGCAATTGTAGGGTTTTAAGAGTCCTTTACAATCTGTCTGCATCATGATGCCAGTGGTGATGTTGTTGACGTAGGAATCCTCTTTGTGAGTGGATTATTATGGAAAGAAGAATATGCACACTATAACAGACATGTCATTGTTGTTGCCTGACTAGTCTTCCCTTTGTTAGAATTTTTTAGACAATTTCCCCAGCAATGACATCATGTCATTTCTTGCAAGAATCTTCCTGCTGTTCCAGATGATCACTGTGTATCCACTGCTGGGTTATTTGGCACGAGTGCAGCTTTTAGGACATATCTTTGGAAATGTTTACCCAAGGTAAAGGCTCCTCTCTTTGCATGCCTTAGCACTTACCTTTCCCTATAGGGCAAACTGTCATTGTTTACTTCTTGGTGTCAAAGCAAATCCTTCAGAGTGAGTAACAGGAACTCCCTGTTTGAAAATCTTTTCCAACTCGGGCATTGCAGAATGCTTCCAGGGAGCTTCAACAAAATGATTTCATGCCAGCTTAATCTTAGGAGTGGCTGCTTCAAAGCATCTGAGATTGCCAGGTGATTAGGAAATAGATGGGGCCATAGCCTTTTTGGTACTATAATCAAATGTTGGAGACTATGGGTGCATCTACACCAGGCATGGGCAAACTTCGCCCCTCCAGGTGTTTTGGACTTCAACTCCCACAATTCCTAACAGCCGGTAGGCTGTTAGGAATTGTGGGAGTTGAAGTCCAAAACACCTGGAGGGCCGAAGTTTGCCCATGCCTGATCTACACTGTAGAATTAATGCAGTTTGATAACCACTTTAATTGCTAAGACTCAATGCTATGGAATCATGGGAGTTGTAGTATTACAACGTCTTTAGCCTTCTCTGCCGCACCAACCTACAACTCTCATAATTCCACAGCATTGAGCCATGGTAATCAAAGCTGTGATGTTTTGAAAAGTGATACCCTGCAGTAAGATGACTTTATTTGCTTTTTTAGCTAAAACAATTCAGGTATAAAACTGCAGTGATGTTTACAATCGGAAACGTATCGCTGTCAGTATTTTTGTTTATTTTCCTCCTTTTTTGGTAAACATGGTGGCTAAAAAGGTTATCCTATACCATTTTCACTATCTAGCGATTGCTGTAAACAACTATAATTGGTTGATCCCATAGAACTTTATCCCTTCAAAGCACTTTACATTTTTAGGTCTGCTCGTTTGTCTTTCCACAAACACCACTATCACCTTTTCGTCCATGTCTCAGCACTATTTCCAATTTTAATTTTATATTTGGCCTTCCCACAGTTTTAATTGTATGCTGTCTTATTGATAATGTTGTATGTTTACTGCCTATGTTTTTATTTTAATTTCTTGTATTGTTGTGATTATTGCTTGTATTGTTGTGTTTGGGCTCGGCCTCATGTAAGCTGCACCGAGATGGATGGGGGAGATGGTAGCGGGGTACAAATAAAGTGTTATTATTATTATTATTATTATTATTATTATTATTATTATTATTGTCACCAGTGACCTCATCACACTGGAGCAGGGGTCCTCAAACTTTTTAAACAGAGGGCCAGGTCACATTCCCTCTAACTGTTGGAGGGCCAGATTATAATTTGAAAAAAACCTGAATGAATTCATGTGCACACTGCACATATCTTATTTGTAGTGCAAAAACATATAAAACAACACAATAATTAAAATGAAGAACAGTTTTAACAAATATAAAATTATTAGTATTTCAGTGGGAAGTGTGGGCCTATTTTTGGCTGATGAGATAGGGTTGTTGCTACTGCTGTTGTTGTATGCTTTCAAGTCGTTTCAGACTTATGTTGACCCTGAGCGAGGGCCGGGTAAATGACCTTGGAGGGCCGCATCCAGGCCCCGGGCCTTAATTTGAGGACCCCTGCACTGGAGAATGAATCTACTTTAAATCTGATTTTTGCCTCCTGCAGAATTCTGGGGTTTGTAGTTTAGGGAGGAGCCTTTAACAGCCTCACTAAACTACCAACTCCAGAATTCTGCAGGAGGCAGAAACCGTATTTAAAATGGATTCATTCTCTAATGTGATGAAGTAGTGGAATAGGAAAAAGAAATAGGCCTTACAAATCTTGTTATGACTCATTTATGATGGGGAATGGAAGGAATCTTAGGCTTGCAAAACAATATGGCTAAAAAAATGAAGTTCAGTCATGATCAGTTCGGCTTTTTGACGGAGAGAATGTGTTTGGCAAGATTTTAACTACCAAGTCCTCCCTAAAATGTGCCATGGACATTAAAAAACAAAAACAAAAACAAAAAAACAATTGAGCTTCAAACTTAATTTGCTTCTTCAAATTTCATTTGGTTGGTTAAATGTTTCATCGCTTACTGGACTCTGCAGTAAATTTTCCTATCTTCATCTGTAACCTTAGCATTCTTCTTCCAGCACTCTCTACTCCAAATCTCGTAATGTTTGAAATTCAGTGTCAACTTTTTTTTCAGAGTCAAAATCTACAGGTGTGGAAACTGCTGCTTTTATAATTCCTGGCAACAGGATTCTGGAGATATATAAAAGCCAGATTGGACGAAAAATACAGACTAGTTGCCAGTATTGGCAACTAATTTGCTATCAATCTTAGTTATATTTATATATTTAAGGGGAAATGGAGATATTTATTTTGCAATTTGCTGCTCAGTGAGACTCTCCTCACACATTAGTTTCTTTAGGTAATATTTTTCCTCCCTGGCAGGCCATAGCAGCACATTTGTAGTTTGGTGAGGCACCAAACTAGAAATGTCTAGATCCTAAAGACCTTGTAAAAATACATCTCCCATGATTCCATAGAATTATAAAGTTGGAAGAGACTTTGTGGACCATCTAGTCCAACTCCCTACTAAGAAGCAGGAAAATCACATCCAAAGCACCCCTAACAGATGGCCATCCAGCTTCTGTTTGAATGCCTCCAAAGAAGGAGCATCTACCACACTCTGGGGCAGAGAGTTCCACTGCTGAACATCTCTCACAGTTAAGAAGTTCTTCCTCATATTCAGGTGGAACCTTCTTTGAGGCAATGCATTTAAAGTGGTGTCAAACTGCATTAATTCTGTGAACCAAATGTTACTGGTGCTCCTGTGAACCAAACACTGGCAGGACAAAAGTATATGACATTTGTTTAGGAGCAATCTGTGGAAAATTCCAGTTTTTTTTTAATGATGTGAGTTGTTATTTAGAAAACAATATCATGATGGAGCTTTTTGTGTATACTCATTATCATAATCATTAAATATATTTTCTTGAGATAGGTCACTAATTAAGAGGTGCAAGGATGAAGGACAGTAACATATGCAAGACCACCCAGTAATTAGTAATTGAACCAAGTTTTTCCACATCTCCTCAGTGCTTACATTGGCCTTTTCCAAAGCCTTTAAAAAAAAAAAGATATATTATTGCATGTAATCCAGATGTTTCTCTTTTGGGAATTGCTTCACTCAGCTTTCGAAAGTCCAAATACCACTATTATAGCTTTGCAGTGTCTCCACACATATCTGATGTAATCAGAGCCCAAAGTTGGGTAAGTCAATTTAATGGAGGAAGAAGGGCAAAGAATAGATCTGGATCTGTTATTAGATACTTCTGTATACACAAGCACAGAGTATTTAATTTTTAATTGTTTAACAAAAACAGCAGCAAAATTATCTTGAAAAAAATTAAGGTAGTTTGGAAAAAAAATAGGAGTTTATTTTTGTGAAGCCCATTCACTTCTGATTCTCTAATCCAGAGTGAATCATGCAGTCCCTTGCTAGACTTTGGATGGCCAACATTCTTTTCCTTACTGCTTGCTAATTTTTAAAAATCAAAAAGCTTCTCTATGTTTTGCATAGGCAGCATATAGGCCCAAGAGTGGCCTTTTTGTGAACCAGGAATTATTTTGGGCTTAAAAATGGCCTTATATAGCTGCTGGGGCGGGTGATTGTAATTGTCATTACCATTCCTCTACAGCAGTTGTTCCCAGGGACTACTTTCACCAGGAACCACTCTCCAACACTAGTAACAAAAGGGTAACAAATCGTTTTTTGGTCAACTTTAGATTTGGTTTGGTGATTTGGGATGCTGATTCAAAAAATGGCATTGGATAGACCACATCAGCTCTAGCTTCAGATACGGAACATATGCCATCCAATAGTCACCATCTGCTCACCCACAGAAAACCATATTTAATAATCTAGAGTTGATGTGTTCTATCCAATGCAATTTTTTGAATCAGCACTCCAAATCATCCAAAATAATTCTAGGAAGAAACCAAAGTCCCCCACTTCCAGGCGCCACATGGAATGGCTACACTCAGGGGGAGGAAGGAGGAGGAGAAGCAGCAGTCAGGAAGCCTGTTGTCATGCCTTTTGTGGGTAGTCATCCTCTCCCCTCCCGACATCCCCGTTGCCTCGGCACTATAAGAGAGTTTTGCAAGACCGGTCACTCTCGTTTCAGCAGTGTTGTAATGATGAGGCCGTGGACCATATTTTAGTTCTTGGGGACCACTGGTGATCCATGGACCACAGGTTGAGAACTACTGCTCTACAGTGTGTTGGCAGGAGGCATTTTGTATTCTTTTAAAATAGTGATGGGCCACAAACATATTCAGTTTTTATGTCCCCTGTGGACTAGCTCTCTTCCTCCTTTTTTCTTTTTCCTATCCCGCCTTTTCTCAGACCCAGAGTTAAAGTGTCTTGCAACAATTTCTGTTCTAATTTTAAGTGTTGTGCAGCTTGTTCCAGTTACTGCATCTTATGATTCAAATAAAATAAAATACATCCCTCATATGTGTGCATTTCCAGTGTAATTAATGTAGCATCCCAATATTAGAAGAGCTTTCTATTTTCTGTAACCTATACAGATAATAATAAAAAGAAAGAAAAGGCAAGGAAGGAGAGTCGCATTGCAATCCTCTACATTTGGGGAAAGCATTCTCACTAATTGTGTGGGAAAGCCACTGCTGTGTTAGGGTCACTTCTGCAAATCCTCTCTTATCCTCATCTTCAATCATTATTTTCCACCATTTTCTCTAATACTGTATCAAAAAATTGACTGTCTAGTACAATACTATACCTGGCTATCTGTCATACCAAGTGTAACGGACTGGCGTACCTTACAGCGTTGGTGTAAAGGCAGTAAATAGGCTTGGCTTGAAAAGGTTAAGGAGAGCAGGGGGGTGGAGCTATCAGGCAGCCTCATAGCTGGAATCATAGAATCAAAGAGTTGGAAGAGACCTCGTGGGTTATCCAGTCCAACCCCCTGCCAAGAAGCAGGAATATTGCATTCAAATCACCCCTGACAGATGGCCATCCAGCCTCTGTTTAAAAGTTTCCAAAGAAGGAGCCTCCACCACACTAGTGCAGTCTGATTGGCTGATGAGATTGGAGGGAATTGGAGATGGGCAGAGCCAGAGGCAAAGGAAGGAGCTAAGGCAGCCATAGTTTAGTCAGTTGGGAGTTTGGTGTTTGAAGAAGTTAGTTAGGAGTTTTGAAGGGGAGGGAAGGAAAGAAAAGTTTTGGGAACTGTTATATGAAAGATACTTCTTTGAGGAAAATAATTAAAGCCTTTAGGAAGAAGGAGTGAGAAATATAGTAGGCCTCTATAGTGTTAGAGTGCTGGTGTGGAAAGAGGATTCAAAAGGTTCAAAATATCCCGTTTGTATTCCTTGGTGTGAAACATTGCTTTTAAGAAACTCAGGTTATAGTACCATTCTCTGTAAAAGTAAAGCCTAACAATTTATTGAAACCATTACGCATCTTTACTGTTCAAGAACAAAATATACAACATATTCCTGTTTTATTTCAGCTGAAGAATTTGTGTGGCTTCTTAAACATTCTAGTGAAGGTGGTAGCCTATGATTCAATAAATGGTGTCGGCTGAAGAAACCTTAATAATTAATTGGTGGCAGCAGAGAAATATTTAATATACAGTGGTAGCTTCCCACTGTCCTGCCTTGTGTGTGAGGGTGTGTGTGTGTCTCTTGTCCCTCACGGCCTCAGCTGGGTCAGACCTGTCAGTTCATCTTTATGGCATCAAACATATTTCTGAGGTGTACTTGTTAAATTGTCATCTCTCACTCATGAGTTAAGCTTTAGTATTTGATCGAATTTCTTATTTTCTGTTGTAATAACGTCTTGCTAAATTGGCCACGTATTCAGTGAGTTTGCAGTGTCCTTGTCTTAGTACAGTCACTGCTAGTTCTTTAATCATTCATCATATTTATAGCCCTGAGCTATTTACTTTCACTAAGCATTAGCTGATCCTTTTATTTCACAAATTGCTCAATTCCATTCCAGCCCGTTGTGTCTAATTTTCTAAGTCATTTATAAAAATGAAAGATAAACAAGAGCCTCGGCACACAATGATTTGCCACTCCTGTTCCTTTCCCATTAAATTGTGCATTTCTTCCAGTGAAAGTCAATTAGCAAAGGTAATCGGATACTTTGAGCGTTTTAAGAAGGAAGAAGTTAATGGTCCAATATTTATATTGCCATATCCCCAAAAACAGAATAAACACCACAGAGGGAACTCTGGTTCAGAGTCTTTAGTGACCAAGATTTGCTATTTATTTATTTAAATATATATATTTATATATCATTGTATAACTGTTTCTAGGCCTATGGCCTTCTAGGTTCTCCAGAAGTTTCTGGATTGGAATTTCAACAAAGCTATTGATTTGTTTGCATTATGGGAAGTGATTTATGCAGAATGTGAAAATTCCCTAAGCTTTATTTTTTTTTCTACTTGGAGCATTCAGGAGAGTACAAACCCCTTCCTGTTTTATTCCTTCATAGTTTTAGTCCAATGACAATTATTCCTAGGCATGAGTCTTGCAAAAATAAATGTTTATTTAATCTATCTAAATGCTTAAGGTTGGCTTGTATATATATTTAGTGTAATGCTTTCCACTCATCTGAAGATTCGTCCTCTGGTATTAATTAGTCTGCTTGCGTTGCTCAAATCATTTCCTGGATCCAAAATGCAGTTTTTCATGTGGGAGTTGTGTTCTAGAGCATGGAACTTTTTGGTTTATTGGGGGAGGATCTTTTGTTCGTTCGTTCGTTCGTTCTTTTAACTGCTTCCTGCCAAAAAAATTTTGGGAGGGTAACATACTCTGCCAGTTACATTGTTTTCAAAAGAATTGCCAAATCATACACACTGAGAGTCCAAACATTTTTAGGTTTTCTTTTTACAAGACTCTGTATATGTCAAGACTTTTCATATGTAAAATTAATTACCTTTTTAGTGGATGAGTCATAGAAATGGAAAGTTGCTCACTTAAACTCATAAAATGGATTGTTCATGCACCAATATGAAATGTGATTACTTTTTCTCTCTTTCCTTCATCTGACAGCTTTTTACATGTGTTCATATTGAACCTAGCCATAGTAGGAGTTGGCATTGTGATGGCCAGATTCTATCCAAACATCGGAGGAATCATAAGGTACTGTCGCTCTTTGAATTAGTTGTTGTAGTGGCTTACTGAAAGGCAGTGGTTGTTTAAATGGTTTCTTCCTTCAACTGAAATGTGCAAATTTTGCCCCCCATGCTTTGAGCCTCTATAACAGTGGTTACCAACTTTTTTTTTTTTACCAGGGCCCACTTTGACTAGGGGCAAATCTCCAACATTAGTATCAGATGGGATGGGGCTGGTTAGCTCTGCAGAAAGGAGCAGAAATAAAATAAATAAATAAAGAGGAAGGAGGCTCGTGAACTAGATTGTCATACTTGCGGCCCACTGCTGGGTCACAGCCCACAGGTTGAGAACCTCTGCTCTAAAAGATAAAAAATGGTATATAATAATAACAGAAATACTTTTCCGAAGCTGGAATTCTTCAGAATTCTTCAAAATTGCCCAACTATCTTACTTTAGCAAAAAGTTCTGGAAAATGGAAATCTTTTTGGAAATTTTATGATCTTTGAAAAGGCATGATCTTGTTAGAAGTCATAACCTTTTGAAAAATGATGTCATAACCTCTTGTAAAAATCATGACCTGTTAGAGTCATAACCTTTTGGGAAAAATGCTCTCATGTAAGGCAATTAGGTTTCTCAACTGTTAAAGTAATATACTACCTAGGTATGTCTTTGAACTGTTAGGGACAAAGATATGCCTATGCACAAACCATATATATTGTATATACAGCAGAGTTTCAGAAGTGTTCTTTTTAATTGCCCAAAAAACATCTACTCACCCTTAAAATAGATTTGCCTTTAAATCATGCTCTCAAGAGACAAAAATAAGCAGACTTCTTTAAAAGTAACATAGTTGGTTTACTCACAAACTTAATGTATTCAGCATACAAGTCCTTCCAGTTAGAGATAGAATTTGAAGTAGTTTATCTGTGTCGATAACAAAGGACATGTTTCTTAGAATCAATAGTCAATAATCTAAAGTATCTCTCTGTTCTGAGAGTCTAATGGAGTCTCTGTAGTCTGTTTCAACTAAACTACTAAAAACATACGTCTGTTCCTACTGATGTCTCTAAGCATACTGTTCCTGCATTGAAGTCTGAAGCATAGTGTTTCTAAAATGGAGTCTGAGATCTGAACAAGCCCAGATCTGATCACATGGTCTGCAGCCCCTCCCACAACAAAAGAGTTAAGGAAAACCGCAAATGAATATACACATATACAATACAGTAAGCAATCTGAATTCTATACGTAACAAAAAACTAGTGGAGGTTTGAATAAGGTTGCTATTTCCAACAAAAAAAAAGGTAAATAGCCTCTCCTAGAATAATTCACTTTTAAAATAGAATAATTCACTTTTAAAATAGAGTGCAGGTCTCTTCAGTATATGTTACCTGAAAGCAAGTTTCATTGAACTGCTTGAGTAGACATATATTAAATTGCACAGTGAAGGTTAAAGTAGAATCTCTGTTTTGTTTTTCCTCCCCAGATATTCCGGAGCAACTTGTGGCTTGGCATTTGTGTTTGTGTATCCTTCCCTCATCTACATTATCTCTTTGCGTCGGGAAGGTCGGCTGACTTGGTTGGGACTGGCTATTCACGTTTTTATAATCCTCCTAGGAGTGGCTAACCTGGTTGCACAGTTCCTAATGTGAATCAATCTTGCTTTGTGAGAGGTACTGGAGTTGCAAAAGAGTACATTGAGCAACTGTACTCGTAAAGCGGTTGTTTGCCCATCCGTTGATGTTAACTTGTCCCAAAGAATGCCTACATTTTAAAACAACAGTAACAGACTTTTCAGAAATGGATGATGTAGAATGGAACATGGTACACTGTGGCAAACCGAACAAGCATTAACCTAAAATTCTTTCTTAAAATGATTGTCATGTGGAAAAAGCCACCTAAGAATTTTTTTATACATAGACAAGTTGGGTTTCAGGTCAATAATAAGCTGTATGACTTTTTTGTAGCATAAATTAAGAGAGTTTATTGATTTTATGTTTCTACATGTGTTTTAGAATACACTCTAATGCAGTAGTTCTCAACCTGTGGGTCTCCAGATGTTTTGGCCTTCAATTCCCAGAAATCCTTACCGCTGGTAAACTATTTGGGATTTTTGGGAGTTGTAGACCCAAAACACCTGGGGACCAACAGGTTGAGAACCACTGCTCTAGTGGTATATTGAAAGAAGTATACTTACGGTTGAAATGTAACACAGATTAAATCACAGTACATTAGTAATTTTTTAAAAAATTGTTCTGCCACGACTCAGAAAATGTGCTTTACTTTTTTTAAAAACGTGACTTATGGGATTCTTTTTTGATGGGATGCTGGTATAGAGGATGGTGTAAGAATATTTCACCCACCCTACTTGGATGACATGTGAAAGATACAGAAATTACTTGAGAAACAATAATATTTCTGCCTTGCATGGCAATTTGAAATAATGAAACACTGGATATTAAAATGTCAATATTTTCAAAGGGAAAATGCCCCTATTGAATGGCAATGGCCTGTTACTTCTGGCACATATTGCTATGAAACAATTCATATATGTGGAGGCACAATTAAAAGTATTGCTGTGGTTTTTCAAGTCTGGGCTGAGCAATAAATTCTGTGCCTGTTTTATGCCATGATAAGAGGTTGCCACTGTACCTGTATAGCAGTCATTAGATCTTTTATGCACTCCCAACAAGGAAGAAAGGGAAATAATAAACAAATTAAAATGCAAATGTAATGTCTTATCTTCAAGAAGACTATGAAGCAGGTTCCCATATTGATGATATTACGAAACAGCAGGGATGAGTTAGGTTATGCAGCAAGAGCATTGTGGATGACGCTTAACCAGCTCAAAGGTTTCAGCCTATTAGATACTATCCAGGTGCACTCAAAGGAAATCAGCTTTAAAGAGAGATTACACCCTACATCCCACAATAAAAACACGCCCTCCATCCCTAGAATTGCTGCCATTGGGCAAACACTGTGCAGTGAATGTTGAGTTCAGAGGCAGCATGTTGAGTTAGCCCTCTGCTTACATCACAACAGTATGCTGGCAAAGTAAAACTGAATTCAAATTCTAGGTCAGAGGCAAAACAAAGGAAACACACACCACGGAATAGCTTCCTCGCCATAGCAGCGGGCATCAGTTGCCCAGGAAAGGAGGCATGTGTGTTTCCACCTTGACCCAACATCCACTCATAGGTGGTAGAAGCTGCATGTGTAATCTGGACCAGCTCATGTTTTATGGAGGCCCATGGGGACCACACACAAATAGAAGGTGGAATCCCCCAATAATAGGAGGGGGAAAGGCTTTGAGTACATGTAAATGAAGCAAGAACATTGCATAGACCAACAGTTTGGGCTTTTCATGGGTCATCCGGTGCTGATGTCCTTTCCCCACCAACCAATCCACCCCCTCCCACGTTTCTGCTTAGGCCAGCCGTACTGTGTGGTTTATCAGCAAATTTAGTATCCCACCACCACTTCTCATTCTCTCTCTCTCCTTCAAACTCGACTCATACATAGAATCATAGAGTTGGAAAAGACCTTGAGGGCCATCCAGTCCAACCCCCTGCCAAGAAGCAGGAAAATCACATTCAAGGAACGTAGCAGCCCCTCTATATACACTAAGAAACATTTCCCTTCGCAGTCCAGGGAAGCAGAGAGGAAAGATCACTGGCTTTAAGCCCCTCAGGTTCATACATCTCTGTACACTGCTCCTTATATTTCCATCCCAACAGCAGTTGAATGCAGGGTGGATCACTGCTTCCAAAACAATCTCTCTGCAACAGAGGTAGACAAACTTGTGTTGCCTCGCAGCAGTTTTCGATTACCAAATTATTCCATCTCTGATCAAACTAACAAGATGCTTGGGGTTTATGCAAATTATGATCTGAAGGGAACCAGGTTGCCAACCTCTTTCATGCAGATTGACTGGTTCTTCGATGGTGTGTGGCAGGGAGTGGCCACTTGACATTTTAACCTGGGAAGCCAAGGAAGAGGATCTACTGGTCTTTGCTCATACTCTTTGCCACACTGGAATGATTGGTTGTGATCACATATCTGCCAGAAATGGTGATGGCCACTACCCGAAACTGCTTTAAAGAGAGACTAATAAAATTCAGGTAGGAAAAGAAATCTATCAAATGCAATGAATGGCTAGATACCACATTCAGGGATAGTCTACTGCTCAATTAGAGGACTATTCATGGTTGTTTGGTCTGATCCAATAACCCTATTATTTCAATCACATGGCAGAAACAAGTAATAGAGACAGCTTTCTGCAACTCAGTTGCCTCTCATGTCAGCCAAACAGCCCATAAGGATCACAGGCTCATACTGAATACCACTAAGAGGTGTAGCATAAGCAACAGTAAGTTGTATAGAATCATGCAGTTGTGTCCAATCCCCACTCAGTGCAGGGTCTCCAGCAGGTAGGTGGGCCTTGTGGGCCTTCCAGTCCAGCCTCCTGCCAAGAAGCAGGAATTGCGTTCAAAGCACTCCAGACAGATGGCTAACCAACCTCTGTTTAAAAGCCTCCTAAGAAGGAGCCTTCACCACACTCTGGGGCAGAGAGTTCCACTGCTGAACAGCTCTCACAGTGAGGAAGTTCTTCCTAATGTTTAGGTGGAATCTCCTTTCCTGTAGTTTGAAGCCATTGTTCCACATCAGGGCAGCAGAAAACAAACTTGCTCCCTCCTCTCTATGACTTCCTCTCATATATTTATACATGGCCATCATGTCTACTCTCAGCCTTCTCTTCATCAAGCCAAACAGGCCTTCAACCTCTCCTCATGTTTTGCTCTCCATATCTCATCTCCATTGCCCTTTTCTGAACTTGCTCCAACGTGTCCATAGCCAGCTTAAGATTAAGCACCCGGAACTGAATGCAATACTCCAAATGAGGCCTTACTATGTAGAACATAGTAGGACTATTACTTCTCTCCTATACTATTAATGTAGACTAAAATAGCAATCGCCCTTTTTCTCCTTTTTGGGCTGGCTCATGTTCAATTTTGGAGCCCTCAGTGGCACAGCGGGTTAAACTACTGAGCTGCAGAACTTGCTGACCAAAAGGTCGGCAGTTTGAATCTGGGGCTACCAGTGGGTGAGCTCCCACTGGTAGCCCCAGATTCTGCCAACCTAGCAGTTCAAAAACATGTAAAAGTGAGTACGTCAATAGGTACCGCTCTGGTGGGAAAGTAATGATGCTCCATGCAATCATGCTGGCCACATGACCTGGGAGACATCTATGGACAGCGCCAGCTCTTCGACTTAGAAATGGAGATGAGCACCAACCCCCAGAGTCAGACATGACTAGACTTAATGTCAAGGGGAAACCTTTACTTTTTACCATGTTCAATTTATAGTAGGGCCGTTTTCATGTAGTACTGTTAAAACACCTGTCCCTTGTCTATTTTCTAGTGTAGGCCAACCACCCACCAAAGCCATCTCATAAATGGAATACAGATTGGAATGGATTCATACAGTCTCCTCAATCCAATAGAGCTGTGATGCACTTTAGATAAAAAGGACTCTGCTGAGCAGATGCCGCCTTGTTTGTTTCAATGAAATTTACACTGCCATAGTATTCTGTAAATCAGTATATCTCTCTGCTAGACTGAATATTCATATGATGTATTTTCATCAGAGTTGCACTTTGAAAGGAGTGTGTACCATTGTTAAACACTTGTTGCAACTTGATAGCATTCTTGGACACCCAGCCATGGGTTCCTTCCTGTGTAATTTCTCAATCTGGATCTTTCCCAAGATTGGGAAACTGATCCTGTCACTCTCCTGCTCCCTATCTGGATTGCCTATTTAAAAACTGTTCTCAGTTGACACTGGTGCCAGAAGCTGCCAGAATTGTAAGCAATATGTCTCACTGCTACTATGCACAGAGCATTGCACTAAAATTCCCTTGTTCAGATATTGACACCATCCTGAGGGACTAGTTACTGCAACATGGGGCTTAAACAAGCAGCTTCCTTCTCTTCCAGTTACCATGGAGCTTTTAAACCAAAGCAGGGGTTAATTAGTGAGATTAGTGTCTGCCCTTGTGTAATTGACTAATCTAGGATTCTCATGCAGTGCCAGCCATTGGAGACAAGCTGTCTAGTGCCACTGGCATTTGGTTCCTTGGGTTGACTTTGGTGTTTCTTTGTAAAATGTAGCTTTTTATGAAACATGAAATGAGAATGTGGAAAAATAAACTGTAAAGAAGAAGAAGAAGAGAGAAAACAAATACTGGTGCTATTTTTATGTTTTAAAACTGTACTTTTATCTTGCACTCGCAATATGCTTTAGATTTTTGACACTTCAGAGTGAAAGATGCACAAACTCTAGCCTTTGCCACACTGTCATTTATTTAGAAATGTGTATGCCAAGGGCATTGATAGCTGGCTCGTTACTTGTATTTTGCAGCTGTTGGAATCTATATATTTTATATGTATTTTAAAAAGCTTTGTTTAGTAAACAATGGGAAATTATTGGTGTTGTCTATGTGGATTCCATTGGCAAATTCTAGTTAAACACTATGAGATGCTACATGTTTTAGAATTTGCTCTTCCTCTTTCTACATAGGTTAGTAGTTAAAATCTTGTTTTATAAACTTTTTAATGATGAAATGTTATTTTGATAACAAGGCGAAATAAAATACATAACCCAGAAAACCAATTGTTGTTGTTGTGTGCCTTCAAGTTGTCCCTGACTTATGAGCCTCCATGAAGAACATATCACAGGCTTTTCTTGACAGGATTTGTTCAGAGAGGGTTGCCTTTGCCTTCCTCTGAGAGAATGAGGATTGCCCACAGTCACCTAATGGGTTTCCATGGCCAAGTTGGGTTTTGAACCCTGGTCTCCTGGAGTGATAGATAAATTGACAGATTTGTTTATTGATTCAACAATAAAAGATAAGAATACAAAGACAAATAAACACAAATCACTATCCTAAAGCTCCTATAATAGATTTCTTTTAGTGTCAGAAGTGACTTGAGAAACTGCAAGTTGCTTCTGGTGTGTGAAAATTGGCCATCTGTAAGGATGTTGCTCAGGGGATGTCCGGATATTTTATCATCCTGTGGGAGGCTTTTCTCATGTCCCTGCATGGGAAGCTGGAGCTGACAGACATGAGTTCATCCTGTCTCATGGATTCAGACTGCCAAACTTCAGGTCAGCAGTTCAGCTGGCACAAGGGCTTAACTCATTGCGCCATCGTGGCTCCTATTCCTATAATAGTTAACTAAAATAAATTTAAACACTATAAAACTTGATTAAATAATAAGTTTAGTAAAATTGGATTAAATTACAAGTTGGAAGTAGGGGGAGTAGAGTACAAGTGTAAACAGAATCTGCCAGAGAATTTAGATAAGTTTATCACCATGACAAGGGGCCCTGTTTTGTGAAATAAAAAGATCTCTCAGGTGGGTGACTTTTATAATAATTTGGCTATGCAGCGGACTCAGTGTCGATTCTTCTCATGGCCCTTCCACACAGTCCTGTATCCCAGAATATCAAGGCAGAAAATCCCACAATATCTGCTTTGAACTGGGTTATCTAAGTCCACATTCAGATAATGAGGGATTTTCTGCCTTGATATTCTGGGATACAGGGCTGTGTGGAAGGGCCCCCAGAGATAAAATAGTAGGTAGGCAATAGGCTCCCAGTTAGTTGTTCTAACCAAAAGCAGCTGTAAATATTGGAATCTCACCATCGCATATAGTCAACAATCAAACAAAATATACACAATGTCCTCTATGGCTGGTGAACCACAGATGTGTGTTCCTTCATGGTAAGGTATTTTTGGAAATCATCCTATTCTTACCATAGAATTAAATTGCTTGAATTTAGCTCTGGCAATTCTCTGTCCCTGAGGATCATCCTAAGGTACCTTTCTGTGCCAAACATGTTTTTAATTTTTGGCTAACCAGTTTAGAGATTTGAAGCTGGGCAACAAAGCTATAGCCATTTGTGCACCGACATCAGAACTTTTTGTTTGAATGTTTCCTGGGCCGAAGGTCCTAGAGCAGTGGTTCTCAACCTGGGGTCCTCAGAAGTTTTTGGTCTACAACTCCCAGAAATCCCAGCCAGTTTACCAGCTGTTAGGATTTCTGGAAGTTGAAGGCCAAAAACATCTGGGGACCCTAGGTTGAGAACCACTGTCCTAGAGAAAGTAGATGGGAAGGTGAAAAGTCTAGGTGGTTCATTAGTTTGAAAAGCTGGAATGCCCAGAGATTAGGTCACTGTAGACCGAACTGTTCTTCTAGGCAGAGCTTAGGAAGTCCCTGGGTCTACTTGAAGAATCCTTAGCCAGTAATTAAAGATTTCTATCAGAAACTGGCACTGGATAGAATAGACCTCAAGTTCTGCTCTCATTGCTAGACTGGGGTGTTTTTATCCTGGAGTTAGAGATTAATCCTCAAGCCACTACATGCTGGCTCTCTGATACTTCATATATAATTATGTCTCTGTCTAACCAGTTCCTTTATGGGATTGCATGCATCACCAAAACAACCCACCTGCAATTCAGATTAATCAGGCCTGAAGCTGCTTCAGACTCACCTCTTTTGTGCCATACCTACCTTTAATAAACTATACCGAAACTTTGTTTCTCTACACATCTCAGATTCAAATGAGCACCATTTTTACTCTCCTCCAAAGCGATCTGCCTGCTGCTGCCTTCTGGCCAAATAGTTTCCCAGCAGATTCCTAGAAGGGACGTTGCTTGCTTAGATGCCACATGACCTTGGAGGTGTCTACAGACAATGCTGGTTCTTCAGCTTAGAAAAGGAGATGAGCACCAACCCCCAGAGTCGGACACAACAGGACTTAATGTCAGGGGAAAACCTTTACCTTTACCTTTACCTATATCCTTTTAATGTTATTGTGCTGTTTAAACACATACATAGGCAAATTAAGAAGACAGACAGTGTCATATTTTATAAAGTCAATTTTGTATTTAGATACTAAAATCCTTAAAATGAAGATTGTTTTTAGAAAATGGCATTCATAACCATTTGGAGATCATAACCTTTTGGAAAAGTATGACCTTTCAAAGAAGAGTCAAAAACCCATTTGAGTAGAATCACAACCAGGTGTAATTATGTAAGGTTTTCGGTTGTTAAACTGAATAAACCTATTGTCTCTGATCTGTTAGGAAAACAGAGAATATGCCAGTGCATAAAATAGCAGTGCTTCAGAAGTGTTTTTCAATGCCCAAAAATAGATCTACTCTCCCATAGAACAACTTGTTTTATATCATGAACTCAAGCGACAAAAATGAAGTATACTTTGATAAAAAATAACATATTTGGGTTGTTGTAGGATTTTTTCGGCTATATGGCCATGGTCTAGAGGCATTCTCTCCTGACGTTTCGCCTGCATCTATGGCAAACATCCTCAGAGGTAGTGGGGTCACTACCTCAATACCTCTGAGGATGCTTGCCATAGATGCAGGCAAAACGTCAGAAGAGAATGCCTCTAGACCATGGCCATATAGCCCGAAAAAACCTACAACAACCCAGTGATTCTGGCCACGAAAGCCTTCAACAATACATAACATATTTGGCTTACTCACAACTTCATGTGTTCAGCATACATGGGTATACAACTTAGCGGTACAGTTTCAGATATGTTTAAGATAATTTCTGTGTGCAGATAGCACAGGGCATCTTTCTTACAACAACAGCAGGCAAGTGTTGGTCTGAGCAGTCCCAAAGTCTAATGGAGTCTGAGCTCTGTGCTCTTCCCAGAGCAGATCATGTGGTCTGCTGCCCCTCCCACAACTTCTCAAGAAAACATAGAGTAAATGAAAGAAAGCTGCATATCAGAACATACATACAATAGGTAAGCAACAGGATTATATACAAACAAGTTACTAGAGGAGGCTTGTATTTTCCAACAATTGTCCATT